AAGATTTGTGTAGATATTTCTCCAAAGCAGATATGCAGATGCATAGGAAATATGAAAATGTGGTCAAGACCATTAGTCACTAGGGAAATGCAAACAAAACTATAGTGAGACATCACTGCACATTCATAGCATGGCTATAAACAAAATACAGATTGCAAATGTTGGCAAGGATGGGGAAAATTAGAACCTTCATAATTTCTTCTAGGAATGTAAGATGGTGCAGCCACTTTTACAAGCAGAACAGAAATTTTTCAAATTATTAAATGCAGTACTACCAGTTTCACTTTTAGGTATATAATAAGGAGACTGGAAAACATAGTTTTACCCAAAACTTGTGCTGTAATGTTCATAGCAGCATTATTCATCATAGCTACCATGTGGAAACCACCCATATGTCCACTGAGCAATGAATAACAAACAAAGTAATGTATATTATAACTATACAGTATAATATTATTCAACAGGAAAAAAGAATGAAGTATTGGCTTTGATATAAGTAAAGTTTGAAACATTATGCTAAATGAAATCAGCTAGTCACAAAAAATCACATATGATTCCATACATATAAGTCATTTATTGATAGGTAAATCTATAGAAAAAAAGTAAATTAGTGGCTGCCCAGGGTTGGGGGCAGGGTGGAATTAGGATTGACTGTCAACAGTGATGAAAATATTCTAAGTGTAGATTAGGGTGATGCTTTCTTGTTAATATTCTAAAAATCATTTAATTATGCACCTTACAAAGAGAATTTTGTTGGTAATATAAATTATTCCTCAAAAATATTTTAAAAAATAGTTGACTGCCAATATGGGCTTTCTAACATGTAATATAAGTTGTGGTTGGTATCTGAGAGAACACACTTAATGTTCTTTTGGGTCATCTGAACCATAATGTTCTTGAGATTTCAACTTTCTTTCCCTCATAAGAATACACCCTAACTGCTAGGGTTATCCTTACTTGATCCTGAGTGCTTTTTGCATGAACATACAAGAAGAAAGACATGATTTTTGTTAACAGTTTTTTAAACCTCAATATTTGCTAGTGTTTCAACTTGGGATTGAAATTCAACTTTATTGTGTCCCCTGAACACATCCCATCCATTATGGAACTTGGCTCAAGTTCCAGCTTTCCTGTGAAGTTCAGTAAGACTTTCCACAACATCCTCTTGAGGGTTTCCATTATAGTAAGGAATCTAACAAATAGTTCCAATATGTTTCATCTGTCAAACTAAGAAAGGACTTTTTAAGGAAAAGGACAATTTCATTTATCTGTGAATTAATGTGCTGAATATCTAGGAGGTACTCAAAAGATTTTTACTAAAGGAAGAAAGGGGGAGAGAAAATAAGGAAAGATACTTATGGAATTTTGCAAGAACTTGAACTCTGAACTTACAGATCATTTGAACTTACTGACTTTCACCTATCCTAGACTAGCATTGATCAACACTGTGGGGGTGAGCCAACTGGATGGTTAATTGGAAACTAGGACTGGAGTTGAGAGAAAATTCTGTGAGCTATGATGTGATTTTTGAGTTAACGAAGATAAAGGTTTGCACCCAGATTAGGAATGAGTAAGTGTCTGATCCTAAAAGTTTTGGTTTACCTAACAAAGGTAAAAAAAAAAAAAAAAAAAAAAAATCCCTGTCTGTGGTTGTAACACTCAGTTATTTGATGAAGTTTATTATTTACCATATAGTTGAGAATGTAGACCCACCTGAGAAAGGAGAGATTTCAGGAACCAAAGGGAAAATTAAGTATGTCTGTGAAGGAATTCAGGGCACCTAGAGTAATTCTGCTCAAACTTTTATTTTTTTGATAATCTCTGAGGTGCAAGGTTCATGCCCTCCTTTATTTGCTCCTAACTATATCTTCCAGTAGGAAGAGCTCTGAGCCATAATCCCAGGTGTCATCTTCATGGGTGGACTCTTCTTAAAGTTCCCTCTGTATGAAACGAAGCTAATCTTCACTAATTGAGAAAAATCTTCCTTTTTCCTCTAGGGGCCCACTTTACTAACTTTATCTCCAATTTCCAATGTTGTGCTCAACATTTCTTCATGTATATGTATTGCAATTCAAACCAATAGTATAAAAATTACCATAAATTATAACCATAGACGACAGTAAGCTGTTTAGTCTCTTATCTTTTTATGCGAGTAAGCTCTAAGTGTGCATCTAGCATTTAGTATTTAATATAGGTTGAATGAAAAAACTTCTGTAATTTTATCCTTTGTGCTTCTCTTCTTCTAGGAATTGTCTACATTTAAAATTCCCTTGACCAAAAGGGGTTGGTATAGGAGGTGTCAGGGGAGAAGAGGAGAGAGAGAGGCTGTCCATTAAGTTCGGAAACTAGATTTTGTGTCCTAGCCATGTCCCTTACAAGTTTTTTGTCCTATTAAGGCTTTTGTAACCTATAACCTTTCTAAGCCTATTGTTTTTGATTTACAAACTGAGAGTGGTCACCTCTTCATTCATGAAAAATGCTTAGCACAAGGCTGGATATAGCTACCAGCTGAATACATGGTAGCTATCACCATTGTCTAAAACTGCCTTGAATGTATTGTATTTATTAATAAAAAAGAAATAAAATGTTTTGAAGAAACAGAAATTGATAAGTAGTAGCACACCAATAAATTTAATTCGGTATTATTTTCTGTAAAGTGAATTTTAACGATTTTGAGCTCTAGTTTGTAATATTGCAGTTATGATTTTGGTAAGAGAATTGTTTTTTTTACATTTCGTCAATGTATAGGGGCTCTGGTAAGTGTATTAACATTTACTTTATTAAAAAAGTGTGGTAAAGAAACCTAAGTGTTTCTAATCTTAAATTTTGAGACTGAATAAAAAATTTTTGAGTAAAGTTTTTTTTTTATGTTACTATAAAAATCACCAACGTGACTTATCAAATAAAAAAGAAAAACAAACAAATCTTACTGTCATTAACAGATTGTCTTTATTATTTTCTATAGTTTCTAAAAAGTAGAATATATTGTAATATTTTGTTAAAAATAAACCTTTACACAGTTTTTGGAAGGTTAGTGGCAAACACAATTTACAAGTAAAAGTAATAATTTTCAGACTTAAATCAGTTTTTTTTTTTTGTCTTTGTTGAATTTATAGAAGCAAGTTATATTACAGTGTCAATCTCTGAAGCAGTTTCCATACTAAAGCATCCCAAGAAATGGAAAGGAAGAAGCCTTGGTAAAGCACCAGCTATCACCATGTTGTAAGTCAACACTGATTGCTCTCTGGTCCCCATCTCATGATGGAGAGCAAGAGGAGAAAGGGAAGGAATATGTATAGAAAAAAAATTGAACCCTGAAATTACATTTACTTAGGGGTCCCTCAAAGGCATCTTGGTAAGGTTATTAAATTTTTGAGGAGCAGAAATATAATTGTTAAGGCTCAAGATCATGCATTTATAATAAAAATACAATTACCAATATGTAAATAATAGGCAATGTCATACTATATTTTTAAAGCTTGTTATTTAAGTCAACAGTATGCAGGTTTTTCTTTTGAATCCTTTAGGACTTTGTAGGCACATTGAAATTAGTTTTCATAAAAATGGAGTAAGTACCAGATTCTTGAACTACATGTATATAAATGACTACTTTTTTTATGAATAACTCCCAAAACAAATTTTTCTAACTTTAAGAATAATTTCAATGGTGAAAACTAACATTTCAAATTTTAAAGTTTCTGAAATATAAAAAATTTATAAATTACTTTTGTATATGATGAAATTAAAATGCTTAGAAAGAAATGAGTAAGTGAAACTTAATCTGCATATACTAATGCTATTAAAGGATGACTTCCATTCTCATCTCCCAATTCACAGCCCCTAGAGTTCGAATGCTCATTTCCTTTTTTTTTAAGCTATGAGGACCTAAATAAAATGAAAAGCACTTTGGAGTGGCTAGTTTTCCAAGGAAGATCAAGACACTGCAAAAATCACTACACACACTGGTAGGTTTCAGCTCTTCTAATCGATATTATAACATGCATTTGCCAAGTCATACATACTTAATGTTACACTAAGGATAAATGGGAAAAAATAGATTTATAATAAGATAAAGTTGGGTCCACTAATGTATTATTTACGGTATCATTTTAATAAATGTATACTTTGAAAAAAAGTGAGAGGAAAATGTAGGCCATAATGGCAGTTTCATGGATGGATGTTCTTCTGTTCTATGAATTCATCCTGCTGAAGAACTGGAGCTTAGATAGAACTAGAGGAAAAGATAAGAAACCAGGAACCAAGAACAATAATTCCCATTAATTAATTCCCATTACCAGTGGGGTGAAGAGGTGGGAAGAAATAAAGAAAAGAAAGAAAAAAAAAAAACAGAAGGTAGGGCTTCAACCCATCTTTCACAAAAATGGTTCTAATCAGCTTGAGAGTCTCTGGGATTGATCTCAAAGGCACTTCCTAAACAACTGCACCTTCCCTTGACCCAACTGGCATTGGTTTAAGCAAATTGATGATATAATGCTCTGTAGGATTTCACTAGTTTTGTGTAAGGTTATTTTTTGTGATACCATAAAAATTGCCAATCTAACTTATCAAATAAAAAAGAAAGCTTATATTAAGAGAGCCCTTCTTTACCTGTAACTAAGTCATAGTAGTGGCAACTAGAAGACCATTAAAGCAGATGTAAAATGTACAAGGATACCTATTTGGCTGGTAATCTTTACCACCACCTGCATCCGTCCTCTATCGTAGGCACACATCTAATGAGCCATGCAGGCAAAACACTGGATTATCAAAAGGTCACTTACTTTAACTGCAGCAATATTTAAGGACTGTCTTTCTTGATAGATTGGTTTGACTGAACAGAGGTGAAAAGTGAGTTTGGCATGAAGACTTGTGAACAGAAGCTTAACACTTACCAGCTGTAAACAATTGATAGCTTCACTCTCTCTGATGGTTGTTTTAATTTCTTAAGCTTTTAGCATTTGGGGGATATATGAAGAAAGTAAAGAGGTGATAAGTAGGGATTAGATCTGGCTTTGAATAGTTGATTTTTCCTTAGCTTTGTCAAAATAGACACCTTCTTTTGTAGCTTGGACATCTCTGTCACCATTTATTATATGAATATCTGAAGTATTTTTGTCATTTTGCCTCAAGCGGTAACTTTTATAAGCACGCTGAATAATGGTGGCTGAAACTGCCTCTTGTTTTCGTTTTAGAGTAGTTGTAATTGGTTCATATGTGATTTTAAAAGGGTTGGCTAATACAAACCCTGATTCTACCTCGGAGAGGAGTTTTTCCACCCTTGCATCTTTTCCCATAACTCTTTTAGTAAAAGCAAGTAAGATGTCAAGGCAGTGGATTCTGTCTCCAACAGCCATGGGAAGATCCATAGCAATGAGCTGGCCCTTGTTTGGTTTTGCCATGAAAAGAGGAGGATCAAGAGCAGCTGCAAAGTCTGAAAGTTGACTAGAGTCTATGTACTGTGTCCTATCAGGGTCAAACCTTTTCCATACCTGAAAGAATTTCCTAAAATCATCTTCACTCAAGGTCCTGGATTTTTTCTTAGAAACAATGCTTAAAAACTCCATAACCACAACAATATACATATTAACAATGACCAACCATGATATGAGGATATAACTGACAAAATAGAAAATCCCCACAGAAGGGTTACCACAATCTCCTCTAACCTGAGTCCCAGGGTTAATTTTATCAGGATCACAGTCAGACCATTTACTGTTGAAAATTGCATTGAGCATACCATCCCAACCAGCAAATATTGTAACTTGAAAAAGACAGAGCATACTGCTGCCAAAGGTTTCAAAGTTGGACACATCATTAATTCCAGCTTCTTTTTTCACATAAGCAAAATTGTACATTCCAAAGATCGCATAGATGAACATGACCAGGAAGATGAAAAGACCAATGTTCAACAATGCTGGGAGGGACAGCATCAAAGGAAGCATCAGATTATGGAACACCTTTGGTCCTTTCCCAAGACGCAGGACGTGGATGATCCGAGAGAGAAGGATCAGTTGTACAAGTGAAGGAGGCACAAGGTAGTATCCTGTTGTCATAGGCACAAACAGCCCTAGGCGCGGGAAAAGAAAGAGGAAATAAAACTGTTCAAATACAACTGTATTTAGAGAAACTTATTTTACTCTTACTTGCTTTTTCCTGTATTTGGTTAATCCTTTATTAGTCCTTCACATTTAACAGCATATTAAAAGTTTGGATTAGTCAAATACTAATGGTGCTAATGATAAGGGTACTTAGGAAAATTTGGAAGAGAATTCTTGTGGACTATCATCTTAAGAATTTTATGGATCAAGTCTTTTTTAAAAAAAATTATTTATTTGTTCTAATTTGTTATACATGACAGCAGAATGCATTTCAGTTCATAGGACAAATATGAATCACAATTTGTCATTTCTCTGGTTGTACACGAAGTAGAATCACACCATTTGTGTATTCATACATGTACCTAGGGTAATGGTGTCCATCTCATTCCACTATCTTTCCTACTGCTATGCCCCCTCCCCTTTGCCCTAATCAAAGTTTCTCCATTTCTCCCATGCACCCCCCTACCAGATCCAGTCTTTCTAGAATCACAGATGATTTGGATTCATAATAAAGAACATCAGCTGTATTTTTTCTGATTATTTCTGTATCAAGAAAGTTTGTTCAATCCAATCTGCACTAAATGCTAATAAAGGCATCATGCAGATATTCAAAGATGAAGAACATGATTTCTAGAACACTCTATAATCTGTTACCAGTTGTAGACATTTAAAATTATTACAATGTAAGTTAGAAAGACCTAGTTGATAAATATAATTACAGTAATGCCTGGAATTCAGTGATGTACAGATTATAATTTGTTTTCTCCATAAAGAGTGTTTGAGTCCCAGGAGTTTACATGTGAACTGAGTATAGAAGCCTTTCCCTGGCACTTAGGGATGGTTTGCTTTGTGTCAAGAAGGTGGTGGAGGGGAGAATCCTGTACAGTTTCTAAATGAGATATTATGCTTTCTTACAGGAAGAATCCTGCCTCATACTGCCGTAAAACTTGCTCATGGACTCAGGAGACATTCTTCCAACCATTCCCGCCTCTCTCTGCAGAGCTTTAGAGAATCTTCCACTCTGACCCACACTCTCATTTCTCCTCAATCTCCCAAACTCATCTTATGTAGGAAGTATCCTCATTTAATTTTAAACAAATTGTCTTCACATCCTCACTACTAAATTTTAAAACTCTTTTTCTTTTCTAAAATCTGAATTCATCCTGTTGACATTATTTCCCAGGCACTAATTTCAAGTGCATGCAGCTCATCACCCTCCACCTCCAACTCCATGTTTCTCAGGGAAGAAAGATGGAATAGCATTTTTTCTATCTTCTCAGTGAGACTTCCAGACACTTCTCTTTCCCACTATGTTTTTTAATTAAAAAGTAGAATAAAATTCTGAAACTCTGTGGATCCTACCACCATTCAACTATACCATTTCTACCATTCTTTGGCTCTGCAATCTACTCATTGCACCACATTTATATTCATTAAAGACTTCAGGAATTGAGTCATTTCTGTTCCACCCCAGAATCTTCTACCACAGCCCATTCAAAGGCCTGTCTCTGAGTTTCCAACCTTTCAAACTTTTATAGTTTTTTTTTTAATCATTTAATTTCAGTAGTCCATATGTACAACCCCATTCTTGACCCAGGATACCTGACAACCTTGAAATCTCAAATTCAGTTATCTTTTGGCTATAATATTATTTTATCCCCCTCCCCAACCCCAGTTCTCTGATTGATTAATAATTTCCACTTCAATCTCACAGAGTGCTTTAGTTCTGTAATTCACCTGTTTTCTTCCTGTTACCTCCCTCCTGACTTTATGTACTCTTCTATCAAGTTTTTTATACTTTTTCTCTGAATAACTAGTTGCATTAATTCACGTATCCACTGAATTTTCTTAAAGTACAGATGGGCAAATTATTTATCTACATTTTCCAACAACAAATACATAGAACAGTGCTTGACACAATGAACTCTTCAATATTGTCCACACTCTCATGGAGTTTACATTTTGGTGTGTCATAGAGCAGTAGACAAAGAAACTTCTTTTTGCCTGAAGCACATCCATAAATTTCTATTTGAATTTTACATTTTTCTCTGACCTTTACTTACTGGAGGTGCTTCTCCCTGTTAGGCTGCTATAGCACCCTGCATCTCCTTTACCAACCTCAAGAGCACAGCATTTAAATGCACTATTCAATTATCTGTAACCTTTAATAGACTATAAACTGTGTGCATGCAGAAATTATGCCTATCTCATTGATCACTGTACTCTTGCATATAGCACAATGTCTATTCACAAAAGAATAATTTTAAAAATGTTAAATAATTGAGATCTCCAAAGTAATAGAAAACTAGCAAACAACTAATTTAAACCTAAAATTCTCATATGTAAAAGTTAAAATAGTTTTTTTTTTTTTTTTTTTTTTTTACTATTAGAGGAAACAGAACAACAATGAGCTTGACAAATCATGGCATTCTAACACATAAAGATCCTTACAGTATCATCTAGAAAATGAATGCATGTTTTATACCGAATGTATAAACCAGCATTTATCTAGTGGTTTGTGATATGAAATCTTTGCCATTGGTTCAAGAATTGTATTTTCAAATATTATCTGTCAGGCATGTAAGTATGTATGAATGCAAAAAAAATGTGAGATTTTTATGTTGTGAGTAAGAAAGTTTCTACCTCTTTTGCTTCTTAAAATACTAGAGAATTTTTTTATGAGAGTTTTCTTGAATTGATATTACTACAAAGGAAATTGTGACAAAGCAAATCTTACCTGTAATGGAGAAAATTACCACCACAAAATCGAAAATGTTCCATATGATTGTGAAATAGTAACAATGGAAAGAGATGAGCTTCAGTATACATTCTATAGTATACAGTATAACAAAAATTGCATTGATCCAGTAGTCAGCAATATCCATTTGTTGACTCTGTTCATCACTTTGGATCATAATGGTTACTGCTTGAACATGGATAAGAACCATGATGATGATATTAAAAACTTGATTTGTTACCAAGTCAAAGATAAAGCCTTGGAACTTATTCTGTGAATAAAGAAAATAACTTTAATAGTTTTATTAGTAGGTTAAATATTCATACACATAGTTTTTAGATTCTACAGCTTTCCTCCTAAAATAATTAGGAAAATAAGTGAGTCTAAATTTTTGCAAACTACAACGACAGTGTATAGTGAAAACAATGCACATGCAAAAAAAAAATAGTCATTAAAAGTTTTGTCAAGGAACATATTTTACAAATATTGTCAAAATAATTTGTTAAGAATTTTGGAAGCACACTTTCATTAAAATAAAGTCAATCTTTTTAAAGCTTCAAAAAAAGATCTAGACTTCTTCTTACTCTTGGGCGAGGTACTGGTCTAGGGGAGTCTTCATACATTAGCCTCTTCAGTTTACGGTACTGTTTCCTTTGTTTTACTGTTATAAAGATATTTGAGCCTCCTTGGTAAAGAAATGAAAGAAAAAGATGTTAAAATGTCATATAATCCAAATTTTCCCTTATAGAAAATTTGAGAATTATTGATCTAACTTTGGCAAAAAGCTTAAATGTAAGAAACTAAATCATGTTTGAACATTTTCAACTTTGTACAAAAATATATACAAAACCTGGAATGCTGGCAATGAGTGAATGAGTGATATTGAAAAACCTTTTTTTTTTTTTTTTTTTTTTTTTTTCTGTGTGCAGCTAACGCTATTTTTCTCCTTTCAGTCTTTTGAGGCCCTTTCTCTTTTTAGAAGTTTACTAAGGATGGCTGAACTCAGCAGATAAAAGTAAAGCTTATTGTGCCCTTTAATATGCAGGGATGAAGAGAATTGGTCAAATATATATTTTCAAGATTCTATGTTGCTTTGCTTTATAGATACTATCAGAAAATATTTTTATTATTATTCCAAAAGTACCTTGTGCTGACTTCATAGCACCGCCTACAGCTGAATTGTTTTTGTGTTTCTAGTGCATATAATTTTATGATAATATAGGAATTAGGAATTGTTAATGCCCTAAAATAGAACCTGGTCACTTAACACTGACAGGAGTCAACAACAGGTAGTACAGAAGCAAAGCATGGGAAGTTACCCACAGCTGGAAGTGGCCAGGAAGCTGAAGCACCCAATCAGAACTGTGTTTGATCGCTGAGCTCTCTATTACCATCTGATTAGCAGAGACTCAAAATGTTATACCAGATTTTGCACGTGATTTAGTTTGATGACACAGCTGAAGATGAAATTCCAAATTAAACCATTTTTTTCTTTTGATGTTTTTGAAAGGCTTTTTGACAGTAGAGCCCCTAGTAGGGCATCTATATGGACTCACAGTCTTTTGAGGTCTTTACTTTTGTGGCAGCCCTGAAGGGAGTCTTTGTGCACACAAGTGGTTGTTCAATTCTGTCTCTGAATTCTCTATTCCTGGGTTTGAGTACTCCTACTTAGGAGGCATTGAGTATATTGGTGTATACTTCATATATTTGAGCAGATACACAATATTAATATTCATTTTCCAGCACATCATTATTTATAAAATATACATATAGAAATACAGGCAATTTTTAACTTAAATTTTTTTTGTAGTTGTAGTTGGACAGAATGGCTTTATTTGTTTATTTTTATGTGATTCTGAAGTTCAAACCCAGTGTCTCACACATGCTAGGCAAGCGCTCTACCACTGTATAACCCCAGCCCTAATTTTTAACTTTTAATCTCGCTGTGTATATATTAAATACTGAAATCAATATAAGGAAGAACATTACAGCAATGTGCAACAATGTGCAAGAACATCAGTTATTTTTTATTGCATTTGTACCAAATAAAAATGACATCGAGGACTGAGGTTATAGCTCAATGGCAGAGTACTTTCCTAGCATGTGGGAGGCACTGGGTTCAATCCTCAGAACCACATAAAAATAAATAAAATAAATAAAGATATTGTGTCCATCTACAACTAAAAATTTTAAAAAATTTAAAAATGACATTGAGCTATGTGAATCGGCATTTTTATAAATGTGTTTGTTTTTTTTCAGTCATTGATGAACAAAAAAGGACTATTATACTTATCTTTATTTTATGCTTGTTGAAATTAGTAATAATAACACTGATCAGCATACTCAGAGGAAGAAATAATCCAAGGATAATGAAGCTGATAAAGTAATAATACATGTAGACGTTGTACTCAAAATCAGGCTGCATATTAACCTAAAATTGAATTTTTAAAAATTAGTAAAATATTGGTGATAATTTATGTAAACCTAAGATTCATAAAACAATTTAGGATAAGAAAGTCTAACAATGTTATTCAAGGTAATGTTTTCTTTTTACTCTCTGGTAAAAAGAACGCTATTGCTTTGCTTATTTAAACTCTAAAGTTTATTTATTTATTTATTTAATTATTGTTATAAAATATGGTAATCCCTCAAATGGGCCTGTTGGGACTCAATCATTACATATATTTCTGGAAGGATTTAATTGCCCATGAAATACCCAACCTGAAATATTAAATTTCTATAAATTATCACCTATCTCTTGTGCTTGTGTTACAAAAATGACTTTGCTTGAATCTTAATAATGCCTTTAAGATTATATGGTACTTACACCAACAGAATCAATTGCTGAATTCATAATAGTGATCCATCCATTAAATGTTGCCTATAAAAAATAATATATATTTAGTTCTTAGGGAAATCTGTATTTCATGGCAAATAAAAAGTACAACTCAATTCGCTATTAACACTTTAAAACATTTGATACTAAAACTTGCCATACTTCAACATATTGGATAACTGAGGTATTTAGCTTTTTAATTAATATATTATCTGTCAGTTATTTTACTCAGTCTATTTATAATTAATACTAAAATATTTTAAAATAGTTTATATTAAAAAAAGAAAAATAGGGAAATGGATGGTAAAGAAGTGCATGCTGCCAAATGCCAGAATTACTGATAGCTGTTATAGATGTGATTTTCTGTGAGATAAATAAGAAAGGAATGTCTGTCATTTAATGTCTGCTAGATACTGGGTTTCCTTAGTAGCCATTTCTGAAAGTACCAAATAGAAAAATACTAAAGGCAACTCAAGTAGGACCAAGGAATTGTGGTCATGTGACCACATGGTCAGTGATGGTGGAAGCAGGTTTGGCCAATATCTGCTATTTCTGTTCTCTTCACTTCTTCCTCCCAATAGGGCAGGAAATTGTCACCTCTGTCACTCCAAATTATAGTATGTCTCATAAAACTTCTGCCTTAAATAGCAATTGATAAAATATCTTATAACCAAATGTATTAATAATTCATATCTTGTCCTTGACATTCAACTTACAACGTGGATGAACATATTATTGATTTAAAAAAGAAAGAAAGTTCAAAAGGGTACTTACTACTTGAAGCAAAGAGAGGAAACCATTTCCAACATTATCAAAATTCAATTTTGCATTCTCCCATGGCATGGATTCATTCAACACAAGGTTTTCACACTGACTCCGATTCTTGACTTCAGATACAGGAAACCTTTCCTCACTTATTGGGTCAATGCATTCATAGAATGTGCCAGAAAATAAGTGTACTCCCATGATACTAAATATCAGCCAGATCATAAGGCAGACCAGAAACACGTTCAGAGTGGGTAAAATTGTTTTTATCAAACCTCTCACAACCACCTAGCATATAAAAAAAATGAACATGCGAACTTTAGATCAAAAATGTAAAATTTTTAAATTCTAATTACATATGTAATTTATTATAATTACATAATTCAGCTAATTTTTCACAATTTGGTTTAGAATCAGAGGTAAATATCACCATATTGCAAAGTTCCATGATGTGGTTAATAAAATCTGTTTTATAGTTATCAACTACAATTACTATTTTAGATTTTTGTGTTATAGGTATATAATATTTAGAATTTTTCTGTATTTGCTACATAAACTGTTTCTTCCCCAACTCCAATAAATAAAATACATTTGAGAAATACATAGATCAAACCTAAGTCTTGTTATAATGAGTCAACCAAAGATTCACATGAATTATAGAAATAAAAATAGTATCATATTGGCGTATATATAACAATATATATTATATGTATATAATATATATTGGGTATATTGGGTGTATATATATATATATATTGGGTATATTGGGTATATATATGATTGGGTAAATATATTGGAGATATATATATATATATATATATATATATATATATGTAATAAAATATTCCCAATAGTGGTAGGGCACTTCATTGCATGAGATAGGCTCTGAATTCAATCCCCTGAACCACTAAAAAATATACACAAATGTATAATAAATGTGCTTGTGATTCATATATGTGTATTTATGTATATTCTCTATAAAGGTGTTAGTATTAAATTTTCTGATATTTTTAAATATATATTTTAAATTACATATATTTCTAGTTGAATTCTCACTTCAATTTTGATGTAAAAATGCTTTTGATCAAGCAGAAAGATTTTAAGTGTTAAGGTTTCTTAATCAATGACACTTTAAATGTTAAGATAAAGTATATAAATTACAAAGTTAATGCAGCTTAAACATAAATAGGTTTTTTATTCAGTCGTATCATAGAATTGAAGGTGTAATATTGGGTATTTTTAATTAAGTACTGAGACTAATGTTAAGTAATCTACATAAATAAAAATGTAAAATGCACATATATGTAAATATGTAATAAAAGGTACAATTGGACTTTTCCTTTCATTTCTGCACACAATTGACCACTGTTTATCTGCATACATATGATTACTGTTCATGGTGACCATAGACTCCATTGTTTCTTTTAGTTTGAATCATATGGGATTTCTATTACAGTGCAAAAGATGAAACCCTGGACATTTTATATAAATGAATCTATTTGTACTCTCTATATGGGTTAGAAAAGTCTTTAACATGGTAATGGGGGGAATGACAAGTAAAAATTAATAATTTGTGATGTCTGATTTTAAAAAATTTAATTTATTTTAGAATTCAAAGTTTCCTCTCATTTAGTAAATAACAACTTTGTGTGTACAATATTTTCACAATTAAAAAATTAGCTATCAAAGTTTCATTTTCTGACAGTTACATATTTAAAAATTGAGACAACTCCACTAACATGTATTTATTTGAGTTAGAAAGGTATTGTTTATGAAACAATATTTTCCCTGTGGATTATTATGGTCTTTTCACTCAGCTTTATTAGTTTTCATATCTTATGAGCAATAAGGACATAAAATCTCAATAAACATAACCAATATATACATTCCCCTCTATTTTCATGCTATAGGCTATAAGGTTTTTGTTATATTGAAATTGATGAAAAGACAACAAATCTTGTTTATTCACAGAAATTTAATAATCTCAAATAAAAACTCATATATCAGTCTAGAAACTTTATATTTACCTTCATTCTTTCAAATTGAGATAGAACTCTGAGTGCCCGAAGGAACTTAATGGAAGTAAGTGGTTTTAAATCTTCCCGAGTTTTGCCTAATAAGCTAAGACAAAACACCTGTAATATTTTTTAAAAAGAGTTAATATGAATCTTAATTGAAATAACATATAAAATAAACTTCATATTTATTATAAAATAATAGTCAAAGCTGTCAATAAAACTTTGAAATATTTTCAGATGTTTCAAAATGTTATTATTTATTGACAGAACAAGTTATAAGATCATAATTGTTAAAATCACTTAAAAATATAAAACTTTTTTTTCTGTAATAAAGAGTATAACAACATTAATATGCATATGTACTTATATTCTTTATGATGAAGAATTATATTTATAATGATATTTTACAATAAAAATTAAATAATCAATTTTATAATTATTTGCAACACAGTATTTGTATATGATATATGCATTAAAACAAGATTTGGAATATATTCATATATTCACCCATGTGTAATTATGATTAATAAAATATACCCAATAAGATTTCATAAACCAGGCCTCAAGAAAGATATGAATATTATTAAGTCAAAAGTACAAATTACAAAAAGTATAACTATGTACTAAGTGATTTTAAAAGTAAATATGTGTAGATAAAAATGATTAATGTTTGAGAAATATTAATCAAAATTGAGCAAGGTGATAGAGCTATGATTACATTTTATTATATCTTCATGTTTTCTAAATTTTCAAGTCAACATAGATGAACATTTTTTTTCTTTATACTAAAGGGAGGATGATCTTGAGTTAGGCTTTGAAGCATGGGAGTCATTTATATAAGCAAAGAGTGGTGTAGACATGTAAGAACAATGACTAGAAAGTGGGAAGGTGATTTTGGTAAAGGGCAGTTTGACTGGAGTAGAAGATAAATTTGTAAAAATTAATTTAAAAGGCAGAGGTCAGTTATTGCAAGCCATTAATTGTAGGTTGAGGAGTTCCCTATTGAGGAGATCTCTCTCTATTGGCTTTAGAATGTGGAGTCATTTGTTCATTAAACACAAGTTTTGAATTTATTGCAGTGGTCCTAATGAGAAATTCTGGTTGCTTGCTATAATACTTACTCAATTGTGGATATTATTTATTTATTTAAAAGTCAACTCAGTAGAATTTAAAGACCTTAGGAAGCTGTTATTTTCAAGATATTGTGCAACAAACCTGTTCTGTTAGCAGTGGATTCATAGGTATTACAATAATCCAGGAGCCTAGTCCTGAACTTTTAAAATTTTAGAATGACAAGATGAGGATAGATGTTAAATAGATAAATAAAGATGACATGTGAGCCACTAAAAAATGTACAGAGAAGGGAAACAGGAGCTATAATGAAGCAAAAGAATGAGATATGAAAGAGTAAAAATAGGAGTAAATCAAATAGCCTTTAAATATTTTTTTATAAGATACATACAATGACAACCATGAAGTCCAGCTTGTACCAGCCATTGGAAAAATAGGCTTTGAAACCATATGCCATCCACTTTAGAAGCATTTCAAGAATGAAGATGTAAGTGAAGATCATGTCAGCATACTCCAATAAGATTTTAATAGTCTTTCGTTGATCTATATATATATCTTCAAAAGCCTGTGGGTAAAAAAAATTAAGGATTTGCCTAATATAATTTCAACAAACTCTTTCACATGTAAAGGAATGAAATTCTATCTCAAATACAATAAAATGCATAACTAAAGAAGAAGGACACTTCATATTGATCAAGGGATCGGTCTCATAAGAATAAATTTGTGTGCACAAAATAAAGGTTAAGAAAATATATTTAAAATTGAAACCAAAAGGTCTAGAAAAAGATCAGTCATAGTGGGGAAAAATTACATTCTTTTTATAGTTAAAAGTACAACAGAAACAAAGTATTAACTACATTAGTAAGAATATAGCAGATGGAGAGTCGATAGAAATTACAAATGACATAATTGTATCCAATACATCACATCACATAACATATTCTTCAAAAGTACATAGTGTATTGATTCTGGTGTTGCTCACCAAGGGCCCCTTTATTGGGAAAATCTACACATTCCATAGTGACTCTGAGTATTGCTTGATAACACACAACTGAAACTCTCTGGAGAATTGCATCTACCATACAAGAAGGAGGCCAGATTTCTCACCCAGGAGCAGATTTCCACTCCAAATGGGATACACATCAGACAATGGCTGATTGACACAGAGATGCTAAAGTCATCAATCTTTTCAATGAAAGTGGAGTATTATTGTACCCTCCAACTGCAGAGCTTCCCTGTAAAATCAAACTGAATCTAATATTGTTTGAGGAGCATGAAGAAACCTTAATGACAGAAATGCCTTTAAAAACCACTTAAAAAAAAAAAAAAAAAGATCTACCTTCTCTTTCTGTTCAGGCCACCAGCAGAATAAAGAGTCAAATCTCTTCATAAAGTAGCTAGAGAAGCACTAATATTGCTAAGGAAGGACAGGGATTGTATTCTAGAGGACTTGGTTCATAGGTAGGATGCAGTAATATATGCTGAAAGGAAGTGAGAGAGTCTGCCTGGGATCCTGAGGAGCTGGGTATTACATTCCAATGCTGCACAAGAGAGTAGCACAAAATGAGGGTCCAATACAAATCTATGTTATTACAATGACTGAAGTGAGATCTGTGTCATTGGGCTAAAATCAAAGTGTTAGGGAGGATGATTTCTTTTTTTTTTAATGTATATTTTTAGTTGCAGATGGAAACAATACATTTATTTATTGATTGATTGATTTATTGATTGGTGCTATGGATCAAACCCATGTCTCATGGTTACTAGGCAAGTTGCTCTACCACTGAGCTACACCCTCAGCCCTAGGGCTGATTTCTTTATGAGGCTCTGAAGAGATAATCTATCTCCATTCTTTTTCAGCTTCTGAGGACTGCCTACATTACCTGGCTTGCATCATCTCCCTTCCTCTTCAGAGCATCTGACGCCAGGGTAGGCACTTTCATCCTCATATCATCTTTTCTTCTGACTCTGACTCCTCTTGCATCTTTTTTGTAAGGACCTCAGTGATTACATCAGGTCCATATGGATAATCCAGGGTGATATCCCCAGTCTAAGATTCTAAATTAATTATATCTGAGAAGACCCTTTTGCCATATATTAATATTCACAAGGTCTGAGGATTATGACATGAGCATATTTAGAAACCATTCTTTAGTCTACTACAAGCTTGATCAGAGAGGATAGAATATAAAGCTAGATAAAAGGGCAAATATGTCGATTATGCAGTCACTCTCCAGTGACAGTAATTAACATCATATTCATCATTATATGATGACATCCTATAAATCTCATCTTAGGAACAAGAAATAGTAAATTCTCTAGATCTTTTGGAGAGACATACATCTTCTAAAACTAAGAAAGACTGACAATACCAGTGGGTCTTTTCATGTTTGAAATCAAAAGTTCACATGAAAACTGTTACTTTTCAGTAGGGCCTAGTGCAAGAAAGTATTCTAAAATAGATTTGTTACATTCTAAGTAACAGTTCCCCTTGAGCCATGTAAAGATACCATGATGCTTGAAAAAAATCTGTGATGGAAAAAGATGCAGGGAAGAGCATCTAGCAAGTCAGCTTGGGTATTTGTTCTTCCCTTACCTTAACACTGGGAAAAGTGGAATCAGAGGTTTTTGATCCTAGAATAGGGCATTAGAAGACAGTCTGTCTTCACTAAAACTCGAACTAAGATGTCATATGGTAAATTTTGTAGTAAGATGAAAAGAAAGAAGTTACCAGACTAAAGGAATAATTGACTCCAATGATCACAAGAAAGTGGGATGTTCCAAGATGCAAAGAGGAAGAAATAAACAAGCACAGAACTTTTTGCACATATTATTATAAAGTACAAACATGGATAAAAGTGATCTATGGCATTTGACATCCACAAAATGACTACCACTTGGAGAGGGGAAGTAATTTCAAGGGGTGAGAGTACAGTTCTAGAGTTTCAGTTATGTTCTGTTTATCAATCCAAGTGACAATTACACAGGTGCATTCACTCTATGTAGATCATTGATGCTGGACACCCAAGACATGATGTACAGTCTTCAGAATGTGTGCTAAGCATCAATATAAAGCTTACTTTGAAAAGACATTAGTTGCAAAGTCTGGTTCCCAACCATGACTTCAATGTCTTTGCCCTATATCACACAATTAACTAGTTCTTGTATATTCAGATTTGACCTATTTTAACCAAATGCAACCAAATTCACTACACATTCTAGTCTTCTTTTCCTACATAAAATGCAGCATGACTACATATTATACTAGACTTTTCTTATTTTGCTTTACCATATCAAGGAGTATTGCAGTATCAGTATGCATTTGGCATCATTTTTAAAAAATAATTGCACAGTAATCCATGAGGTCATTGTAACATACTAGAAATGCTCACCTATTATAGACTTTCTCCCCACCCAAACTTTACTAGTATTAAAAAAATCTTTGTAATGTTTTGAACAACCAATAAAAAAAAATAAAAATTAAAAATAAATAAATAAATAAATAAAATCTTTCTGTGAATAACTTCTTTTATGCAATTAGTACATGTTCAGATATTTGTAGGATAATATTCCAGAATTACGATCTTTGGGTCAAAGGGTAAATACATTCACAGTTCAAAGGCCCTTAAAAATCATGTAATACTTCCTTTCTGTTGTGGAATAGGAACCATAGTACCACGACAATATAACAGTTTTGAGTACCTAAATTATTAATTAAAACTTTATTAAAATCAGGACAATCAGGTATTTTTTTAATTTATTTTTCCCGCTGTAACTCATATATTTTGAAATGACATTATTGATTAAATCTTTACACTTAAATTTAATATTCATATTAAATGATACATTGATGAACTTTCCAAGAAAGTGTAACATAAAGTTTCTAAAACTAAAATCACAGAATGTGAAAGTTGGTGCTGTACTAAGTAATAAGTATTCTGGGAAAAGAAATCTGGCAAGGTGACTTTCTGAAAGCAAGAATTATGAAACATTTGTCCCCATTAAACATCACTCAAACGGTGGGCTCACTTACCAGGGCACCTGTGCTTAGCAGAGTCACGAGGCCAATGAAACACCTAAACCAACTGTTTTCTACTATCTTGCAGCAGGTTTTCCTTATGTTCTGCCAAATTTTTGCTTTCTTGGATACTCTACTGATTTGACCAGGTGAAGATCTTTGGTCAAAACCTGTCAAAAATGAAACCATCCAGAACAAGCATGTAGCAAATGAATGGAAAGAAACATCTCAAACCTTCTTCTCTATGCCTTCATAATTATTTATTTATAGACTCTAATACAGCTGGTCTCATATTTGTGAACATTTGATTGTTACCTTTACTATAGTGTGTATAATCACTAAGGAGAAAAAGAAAAGCTTAACTTGTTGGCTCATTAGTAGGAAGAGAAAAAGAGTTGGAAAAGGCAGGGTGACTTAGAAAATCCCCTCACTATGCAGGACAATCTGAGAATAGAACTAATTCCTTGCTCTTACAATTATCTTCTGAACATTGCATTTTGATATCATGTGACATTCTTGTTTAGAAACACAAATTCTTTTAAGACGTTAAAGAGATATAATAAAGTGTATTGTTTCAATTTTAGTTCTTGGTTGGCATGGGCATGGGAAATTGGATTGTGACTATTTAAGGAGGTAACAGGGTTATGGAGTACGTTGTGGGATGTGTGTATGTGTTTGAAATTGAACTTTGCCTTCCAGTCAAGAGAGTTGCAAGAAGAAAATGATAGGCTTAAAAGTGGAGTGATTAACAGGTGAGAAAATGAAGAAATGGATGTGGGTGGAATTTAAAGTAAAAACATTTCATTTTACAATTTTGCTCAGTGTCAAATTATACATCTCTAGTCAAAAAATACAGGACATGTTTCTTCTTTGTCTTAGATGATAAACAACATAGAGCTTAAGCTGCTGAGAACAGATTATTATTGTGAAGATAGAAATTTGAGTACTTAGCAGTTCCATTTTGATGACTTTTCAGTGATGTCAAATGTTCAAACCTGTAATCATTCATTAATATTGCTAAGAAACTAATTTTAATTATAAGTAATTGAATGGTGTGTGCTATATACCTAGTGGGTCAGATTACTGACTGGAACCATATAGTAGACACTTCTAATATTCATATGAAGCATAGAAGTGTGTCCTCATCATGATTTGTTTTCCTATGAAAGCTGTAAGATGTTTTCATGAATATTTTAAATATTGACCTCAATCATGAGGTATAAAATACTTCAACATATAAATATGTCCACTTCTATACACACACACACACACACACACATATTCACTTCAGTGAATGCACATACACACATGTATTTTTCCAGTGCTGATTTAACTATGCTGATTTTCTGTTTTAGTCCTAAATCATGCTCTATTTTAATATATATAGGTACACAATTAATAGTGTAAAATTAAATATGGACATGATGAGTTTTACCTAATATTATTTATAGCATGATCAATGAAATCAACATCATAAACAATATTTCACTGCCATACCACTACTCATGCTTCTTTTCTACATTAACTATAAGACAATTCAGTAAATGCTGCTGCTGATGATGATGATGTTATTTTACTGAATGGCTACTTCTTCCTTGGGTCAGGTTCTCTTTCTCTTCTGAGATTATATGTACATACACATGCACACATACACACTTATTTAATATTTTAATAACCCTAGGGGGCTTATAATTTTGAAGATTAGGAAACAGAGAGAAGATAAGTAAATAGTACACATTTGTCTGATTCCAGAGTCAATCTTTTCAACCACTACATTAGGCTGTCTGGGAAATAGGCTCTATCCCTCTTTCTCCAATGTTGACTTTTTTCTTGAAATTTTTATAAATGTCTACCAGGATTTGGGATAGTGTTCATGCATGTTAATATTTGTATCCCTTTGCAAAATAAATAAATAAATAAACAAACTCTTTACATTAAAAGTCAATTCAATGGTATTATTTAGATTAAGGGACATTTAGTCTAATTTCCATAACATTACCAAAGAAACATTTGTCTTACCATTTTTAAGATACTTTGACTTTTCACATTCATATACCATTTCCTCTTCTTCAGAGATAGCAATATCAACGGTACTGCATTCAGATGAGCTAGATTGCTTTATTTTCTAAAATAAAGACCCACCAAGAGTTGTGAGTTTAATTTGCTCATTGTCACTAAGTTTCATTTCATTCACTTTCAAAAGTGAGAAAAAATATGTACAGAAAGAACATTTTTAGGTTTAAAAGACTTTAGGCCAATTTAATGATACTGAAATGTGCATTTATTGGTGTGAGTTGATGTTTTTAAACAAATAATGTATGCTAAAATAACTAGATTAAAATGAACATTTAGGTAATAACATTTTGTTCAAAAATGCATAAACTATCACTCAATTTATGAAAGGATTTGGGATCCAAAGTTTTATTAAGGCTATTAACAAGGGTGTTGGGCTGGGGATGTGGATCAAGCGGTAGCGCGCTCGCCTGGCATGCGTGCGGCCCAGGTTCGATCCTCAGCACCACATACAAACAAAGATGTTGTGTCCGCCGAAAATTTAAAAATAAATATTAAAAAAAAATTATCTCTCTCTATCTCTCTCTCTCTCTCTCTTAAAAAAAACAAAAACCAAGGGTGGCTTATATGCTCTTTCTTGTAGATGAGTAGCATCAAAGTAAATCATTCCTTGATGCTATGTGAATAGATAACCATGCATATAGCTTTTATTGTAAAATTCAGTCCAGACAGTCTTGTGTTTCTCATCAGTGGATGGCACTGATATGAGGCTACTGTTGAAATAAAATGAGGGAAAGACACAAGGAGTAGCACCTAGGACAGATGTAGGAGAGTGGCACGAGTCCTATGGAAAGAGCCTTGTTGTAGAGATGAATCTTATTTTCCTCTCTACTCTTGACTAAAGTTCAAGTCTGGCTAAACCCAGGTGATCACTGCTTTGTACATATGATAATAATGCAAATGACATGCTTTATCTTTAATTAAAATTATTTTCACATAGTCTTTATTTTTCCTTATTTAAGAATAAATATACAACATATCATCCAACAAATCACCATGATCCTAAAGTTAATGGCATATCAATTGTATTTTCTAACATTTCCAAGAAAGCCAGTGTGACTTGGATAGAACTCAAACAAAAGAGGAAATTATAAATATTATAAATATTTTATCATGCCTTTTGATTTTCAATAAGCATGAATAACAGAAAGTTTTGCTTTAATCCTTATAATGCCAGTTGTCAGCAAATGATTATGGTGCTCAACTAAACAAAATTAAGCTTCCAGAGAAATGTTACCCATCAAAACTGAGTTTTAAAAAGTTATTTCAAGTCTCAATTCGCTTTATGTCTTCTTTGTTGATTTCTAAAGGGAAAAAAAACTGTAGAAATGTAGTTATCTAAGAGTAGGAAATTATAAAGAACTATAATATTTTGGTATTCAATTGTTACAGTCGTAAACCTTATAATTATATTTTTGAGTTTTTAAAACCCTTGTTCACATACTTCTTGAAGTGAATTTTTCATAAACACTGTTTTCTAATTTTAAAAAAAAATCAATTGAGATCAAAATTACAAATAATTTATTTTAGTAGATTATTTAATGGCATAAAAGTGACTATGAATACTGCTAGGTTATAGAAAAAGTTACAAAATCAGATGTAAAGTGTATTATTTTTACAATAAATACAAATTTTAATTAAAATACTGCAAGCACAAATATAAAAATAGTACTGTATGAATTATCAGATCACATGTGGTTTTTATGTTTTATTCTCTGATTTTCTTAGATCAACATATTAAATATTTACTGGATGCAGAATCTGAAATCTGATTAATGAAATTATATGCATAACTAAACATATAAGTAAATTAATACATCTCCTGTGAGTAGTTAACCAAGAAATAGGACTAAATAATCATGTAGTATACATGACAACTTCTGAAATTTGAACACTTACATTTATTTTTACATTAAGTCTTTCTTATGTATTTTCATACTCCAGACTTTCTAAAGACGCTGCAAGAAGTTTCCAGAAATCTGCCAATATGAATTTATCTAGAGATGAATGGTAGTCAAAGTCTTCAGAGATCGTAGAGTAGGGTTTTTGGCAGAAATTTCTCCTGTCTTCTTTTAATGGTATTAATTAAATGTAAATATACCTGAGACTATTGAGTAGGTTAAGGGGAGAAAATGTTTCTCTAACTAAAACAAAGTTGTCTTTGATAGATGCTAGAAAGATCCTTTTTAAGTGAAATTCAATTTTTCTAAAATACCAATTTGAGAAGTAATTATGAAGAGGATCTGTCAAGCCAGGAGAGTTCTGGGGGAGAAAATGGTATAGAGATGTTGGACCCCTGCAAAAGGCATTCTCTATTCCTTCTTGAGGATTTTGAGCAAACTGAAATGATTCCTCACATAGGTCCAAAGCAAAAAGCCCGTAGTACATTATGTGATCCTGTAGGTTTGGCTTTCTATTAGATCATACCTCTAGTTAAGTCATTATGCCGCTTGCAAATGGAGATTATAAGACTCTTCCAGTAAGGGAACAAACAGTAAGCCAACAACACCTGCTCTTCTTAAAAAATGTAACCCCTTTCTTTTTTTGAAGCCAGTAGTTCACAAAGCTACCCCCTCTTCATAATTCAAACTCTTAGTTTTTCTTCTTATTCTTTTAGTCTAACGTAATTACTTATTTTATGTGTTGCAGAAATAAAATGAGTAGATCCTTTGAATTTGAGCAAGTAAAAAAGAATATTTGCTCTCTTCTAGTCCATTCTCATACCTTGAAGATGATAAAGCACAGGGAAGTTGAATGACTTTTCCAATCACACCCATTGATTTTTACAAACTTAGTTTTTTAGTATGCTTTTCATCACTGTCTGCTTATTGATTTATAGAATTTCACAATTATGTTAATGTTTTCTAAGTGATTATGATATATTAGGTATGGTTGATTGTGCTATTAGACTATTTTTCTTACTTCTATCTTGAGTCTTGTACTTCCTTAAGAAGTACAACTTTATCCTCATTTACAGATGAAGAAATTAAAGTTTAGAAGTGTAAGTAATTTAAGTAATATAATCAAGAGCATAACAACAGGAGCTAGGAGTGGGGGAGATAGGGTTGAAAGGGTAATCTAAATCCAGAAATTCAGCATAAACTGACTTCCTTATCAACACCACCATACATAATCAGCAATCAGGAAAATAAAACATCTTACGTCTCTGCTGTCTCCATTGCCTGACTTGCTCTGAATCTCCTTGTTATCCAGATTTTCTACGTCAGATTCTCCTGAAGCAATTGGTACAGTTTCTGAGACACTGGGGCTGGGGATAAGTGATTGGCTTTCATTGTCAGTCATTGTGTTTTTCTCTGTGCCACTGCTTTTTTCCTTATCTTTGAGGAAAACTTGGGTGTTGCTGAATTCAGAAAGCGTATGGTCAGAAATGTTCTCTTTAACATATGTATCATTTACATGGTCCGTTGTTTCCTGTGGAACATTTTGCTTTTTGCATAATATTTTATGAAGCACATAGTTTAATCCTTTCTTAATCCTTGCCATTGCAAGCTGGATATTTTTTACTTCATTGCTCTCTTCACTTGTTGAGTCTTTGTATGAACTAAATGAACTCACCAGTGCCAGAAAGAGGTAAAGTACCTAAATGGAAAAGTAAAGGATAGTGGAATGAATCAGACATTATTACCCTATGTGCATTTATGACTACATGACTAATGTGATTCTACATTATATACAATCAGAAAAAATGTGAAGTTATACTCCATTTATATATGATGTGACAAAGTTCATTCTACTGTCATGTATAACTAATTAGAATAAATAAAAGAAAAAACAATAAAGGAGCATAAGTGTAGCTCATGTTGTATTTCTTTTAAAACAATAATAAGCAATCCTCTAAAAAGGCTGACCTAAGACTTGAGGACCGAGCATATGGTCTACAGGCTGTTCAGTTCTTATTCACCGTGGCAGATGTTGTGCTGAGACTTGTAACCAGGACTCTAGTTGTAAACTCACAACATTCTGTGCAACATGATTTGTTTCTCCTTTAGAGATGAAAAAAGGCACTCTTACAGATATCATCAAAGGTCACATGGATTAGCCTCAAGACTGTCTTATTCCAAAGCTTATTTTATCAGTCATATTGTCTTTCTCAAGGCAAAAAATGAGTTGCTGTTCTAGATGGCTGTCTTCACTTTGAGATATCCCCACATTGAGTGAGAATTAAGTGCCCATATCAAAATCAAATAATACGAAAAAAAAATAGAATTAAAAATTTGGTGAAGTAATTATTTGTATGATTAAGAATCTAGAAATAAACATGCATCAAGGCTTCTAACATATATTGAAGATGTTTTATTTTAATATTCTACTAATAGTTTAACAAACATTTAATTTGGGAATATACACACATATATGGAATAGTGCATGATTAGAATTACATTGCAACTCTATTTTGTATTGTTTTTAATTTATTTACATATTTATATTATTTACTATTTGGTTTATGCAACCACAATCTGATTTCACCTGGTGGCAACTATCTAAATCATAGGTAAAACACCTAGAAAAAAAAAAAAGGGTCTGGTAGGAATTTAAACTTCTAAATAATGTTAAATGATTAACAAAACCTATAGATCAGAAGTTGAAATTTTATAGAGAAATAAAACAAATATTCATAAACTGTTTATAGGATGCTAAATGATTTTGTTTTATTTATGTTATGATAACATCATAAGCATTAATTATTTTTGTGTTCATTCTCCCATTAAAGATAGTCAGGTTTAAAAAGGCTTCAGAATATGCATAATAAGCACTAGTTAGTAAGTGATAGAACTAGAATTTAAACCTATGTTTGTTTGGGTGTGCATTCTACTTTTCTACAACTTAACATTTTTTGAAAACCACATTGAACTCTTGCCTTTGCATATGATCTTTAAAAGGTTTCTATATAGTTCTGAATCAGTGTTGGAATTTTATTAGGAGAAAAAGATAAAACTAAATTAAAACTGCAGAATAGTTTCTGTTTACACCATCCACATTGTAAGTGTGGAGGGTAAAAAATCAACCAATTCTCCCCTTTCATTTGTTTTTCCTCTTGTATTTACTCTAGTACTGTTATCATGGTGTCCCAGAGATGGATGACTGCTGAGAGAAATAAAGCTTAAAGGACTTATATAAAGAAGAAATATGATAGCCAACAATTGGAAATGGAAGTTCATGACTTGAAGTTTCTGGTCAGTAGAAACCAGAAAAGTAGAGAGTGGAGTTCATATATTTGCTTCAGCATTTCTGCTTCTTTGAGTTTGGACTACATGTTCGTGTGTGTGTGTGTGTGTGTGTGTGTGTGTGTGTGTGTGTTTTCTCGTTGTTGTGGCTGTGGTTACTTTTCTCAACAGCCATGGCCCTTCCTTTCAGAGACAGAAATCTACATTTCACTTGGGATATTGCCCTTTTCTAATTAGTCTTCGGGTTCGGACTGATGCTATCTCTAACTCCAAGGGAGGGAGGGCTCTGAGTAGCTTACTGTAATAAATGTATTCTACACCCTGGATAATAGAGATTAGTTCAGAAAAGAGTATGTAACTCAGAGTTAGTAAAATAATAAAAAGTTTATTGTGGCTTTTAAGAAAGGAATTCTCTTCTCCATTGACTAGATATGTGTTATGGTTTGGATGTAAGGTGTCCCCCAAAAGCTCACGTGTGAGACAATGCAAGAAGGTTCAGAGGAGAAATGATCAAGTTGTAAAGAGTCTTAACTCAATCAGTGACTTAATCCCCTGATAGGAATTAACTGAGTGGTAAGTGAAGTGGTAAAGTATGGTTGGAGGAGATGGGAATTAGGGTGTGGCTTTGGTGTATATATTTGTATCTGGAAAGTGGAGTCTCTGTTTCCAGATCACCATGATGGGAGCTGTTCACTGTCCCCCATGATGTTCAGCCTCACCTAGAACTCCAAAGAATGGAGCCGGCCTTCTATGGATGAAGACCTCTATGAGCCCTCAAATAAACTTTTCCTCCTCTACAGTTGTTCTGTTCAGATGCTTTAGTCCCAACAGCAAAAAAAAAAAAAAAAAAAAAAAAACCTGTCTAAAACAATATGATATGAATATGTGAAGCTTTAGATTGCAGCAGCTGTGTCTTGGTCAGACACAGAACACCAAGGTGCAAAGAGGACAGAAAAGGCAGAACACGCCTATAATGTCTGCATCTGAACCTCTGCGCCATACTACCATGGAAACAAGATCTAGCAATGGTATTTTGAATTTATGTGTACTGATCTATCAATTTGGCTTTGTTTCATCCATTTAGAATAGTGTTCTATGTCCCTGGGAGTTGGAAGTGTATTCATAGCAACAGAGGACAGAGGACAGAGAATATTAAAGTATTTTTCATGTTGGGCACTGTTCCAGGTTTTGTGACATAGAGAAGTGCCATGGTCCCTTCTTTCATGGAGTTAACAGTTCAATAAGGAAATGGACAATCACATCGAGAAATAAACACAATGCCAATGTGATAAATATATAACAGTGAGATAAACAAGATGAAGCTGAAACAATAAGGGAGGGCACAGATAAAATTTAATCTAACCTGTGATTTATTTTTCCTAGTCTTTTGGAAAATGTATTTGATCTTTATTACATATGGATAAAAAGCAGTTATTGAGTCTTTTTTCCTGTAAGAATCATTTTTATAAGATACAAGAGAAGCAGAGAAAACCACTTATTCAATTCACCCATTAAATTACTAGAATATTTTAAAGTGAAACCTTTTTCTTTTAGTTAATGCATAACGCTTTTATAGACTACCGGTTTACAGTCTTTGCTGCATTATTTAGTCAAGTGAGACTTTTTAGAAAATTTTGATGACCAAGCCACATTCACATATGAATAGCATCAGAATCTCTGGGAGTGGATCCAAGGATTCAGCCTATTATCATTAATTCCCCAGGTAATTCCAATGTGCAGGCGAATTTGAAAGACATTGTTATATTTATGTGCTTCTTACAATTTAATGTGCACACAAATCACCTGGGGTTAGTATCATAATATAGATTATGCTTCCAGAGGTCTAGGATGGGGTTTGAGTTTTGCATTTCTAAGCATCTCCCACATGATACTGATGATCCTTTTAGTAGCAAGGTTATAAAAGTTTTGCTATACAAAAGTAATATGATGCGAGTCCCATATGTAATTTTGAACAAAAAATATATAAGTGCAAAGAGAAACAGGTGAAATTAATTTTACTAATGTATTTTATGTAATTAAAAGTGTTTCAATAGAATCATCATTTTAAAATCCATTCAATAAAAATTATTGCTACGTAATTTATATTATTTTGGGGGAAAACTTCAAATCCAGTGTGTCTTTTACATTTCTTGCACATCTCAAATGAAACTTAGTCATATTTCAACTCTTAATAGCCACATGTGGATAGTGGTCTCTATTTTGAACAATGCAGTTATGGACCACTGGGTCATTGAAAACACCAGGCTATATTACACCAATTTCTACAAGGAAAATGTAAAAGCTTGGAATCCTTACCAGTAAGTTTCCAATTAAAATGACCATCATGTAAAAAGAGATGCACCAGGGTTGGCCTGCTACCTCCATGCAGTCCCACAAGGTTTCTATCCACTCTCCACAGAGAATTCGGAACACATTAAGGCAGGAATGAAAGAAGTCATGCATGTGCCAGCGTGGGAGTTGACAGTTTTCATCTATGCGGCAGACACATGCTTTGTAACTCCAACCAAACAACTTCATGCCGAACACAGCAGAAAAGAAGATGAACGTGAACAACAGCAGAATCAAGTCTTTCAGGGCCGACAGTGAGTTTCCAAGAGTCAGCATCAATATTTCAAATGTTGGCCAATATTTCCCCAACTTGAAAATACGCAACTAATAGAGCAACGTAAACAACAACAATAAGAAGAAACAAACAAGAAAACCTGGTTGTTACTCATTGTGAAGTACATTTAAAATTTTTATATGCATATACACATACACATTTATCACCTTTAAAGTAATATTTAGTATTAATTAGTATTAATATATATCATCAATATTCTGAATATTTTACATACTTCTTAATGCATCTTAACATATTCTGTAATTTTGTACACTGTTTATATCCTTTTCTATTGATCTATTTGTCAACTCCAATTTTGTATTGTGCTCTTATAATCACTATAGATTTATGTTTTAATATCTGGTAGGACAAGTATCCATTCTTTTTTTTTTTTTTTTGCTTTTCACAAGCATTGGAAAATTTTTCACATTATACATACAGGTGACACTGAAAAGTTTCATCAGGATCCACTGAATTTTGACATTGAAGATCTTATTGTATATTTTTATTTTAAAAATCACATATCCAAGACCAAATGCAGCACTCCAGGTTTAGTCTAAATATACTTCTATTTTATTAGATTTTTAAATTTGTATTTATACAGTATAAAATTAGCTTAATATTTTTGTGTACTATAACTAGAGTTAGCATAGTGTACTTAGAGTCTTCTAAAACCTACACATAACATGAACTATATCTTCCGATCTTTTCTAGTATATAGTTAGCTTTCTGGACTCAAGAGTAAGGCTTTATATTAACCAATATAAAATTTAACCATGTTAGATTCAGTTCATTAGTAACCCTTAAAATATTTTGATACTATCTTTGATAACATCTTCTGCATTTGCCAGTCTTGTTTCACCCATAAATTTGATGACTACATCTTGTATATATTTTTATTATTATGCTAACATTGATGGTTGAGGATTTAAGGCAGGATTCTGAGGAAGCTACCCTCTAGGAAGTAATGATCTGGAGAAGCTCAACCTGCTTCATTGTTCCTGATCCCTCCTATATGTTTTAAACTCTCTCCAGAGTAGGACAAAACTATTTTTTTGGGGGGGGGGTTAACATTTCCATAAATGCTATTCTAATACAATTTATTTCTTTGACAAATTTTCTGATGCTCACCGTCTCCCTACCTGTAGACCTAATAATCTCCATACTAACAATCTACCATTTTAAAACAAGTTTAAGATAAATTCTGCTATCCTACATTTAGAAACATTTGTCTGATTCTAGCTTCTTAGTCCCATGTGGAAATTTTATTTCTGGAACTTGTCATTGTTTTACCCAGACACCCTAGCACTGGTTCCTATCACTGTGTGTCAAATCTCTGTGGCCTTAAATATTTTAATTCTATAATAATAGTGTTGGGAAATGCTTTTTTTTTCTCCATGAGGTCCTTTATACATTAATTCATTCATCTATTTAATGCGAACATTTTATATTTGAATCAACTCATGTAATGTCTGAGGAAGCTGAGATAAACGTTGATGAAACAAAAATCAGGCACTGGATTCTACTTACCATCCTGAATGATTGACAAAGGGCCAATCCTTCAATATTTGCTAGATAAAGTTCTGCTAAACCTTGTAACACAATTAAACTATCAAAAATGTTCCAGCCTACTTGGAAATACCAATATGGATTCATGGCAATTATTTTAAAAATCATTTCTGCTGTAAAAATTCCAAGGAAAACCTAAATAAAAACAAAACATGTGGGTGAGAATGATTCCAATACCTGCATCAGAAACTTCAGGCACAGAAGCTTTAAGATACAACATCAATGTTCACCCCCATTTTTTACAGCTCCTCTCTCTAAAATTAACCAGCTCTTGAGTCTATAATGAGAGACACATGCATTTTATTTAACAACTTAATGTAAGGTACCTATATATGGAATCTCTGATTATTTTTAATAAAAACTCGTGTTGAAGAAATCAAAAGAATATTTGAGAGTGGAAATTTCCATTCTTGAATAGTTTCTTTTAAAATCTGGAGTACATCTTAAGAAATTTAATTTTTCCATCTGTGAGAGAATTTTTTTAAGTACATTTATGATCTAGGAAAAAACTATAAAGTAAACCTATGGCAACTGTCTTTTAAACTGTACTTGCAAGGTGGCACATGAAATCCCAGTGGCTTGGAAGACTGAGACCTCAAGATCCTCCTGGATCATGAGTTCAAAACCAGCCTTGTCACTTTAAGCAAGACACTAAGAACTTAGTGAGAACCTGTCTCAAAATAAAAGATAAAAAGGGCTGGGGATGTGGCTCAGTGGTTAAGGGCCCCTGGGTTCAATCCCCAGGCTAAATAAATAAACAAAAACTATACTGGCAGAAATAACCAAATTAATGTTTTAATATTGAGTAAATGTATAATTCGAAACTGATAGTAGTAGTCTTGTCTGTATTGGAACCAAGCAGCTAGATGTTGACAATGAAAGCAAAGAAATTTAAACAGTATACATTTGTTTAAATGTTACCTGTTTTTAAACTCACAGAAACCTGTTCTGTATTTTGCATTGTATGTGGAAAAAGGACAGGTGAATCTCAAAAATACCTTGCCAAAATTACAGGCTCCAATCTGAGACAAAGACAAGTGGTTAAGGAACAGGTGAGCCAGGAACTTCTAGAATCAGGATTCAGAATCCAGAATTCAGGTGTCAGTGCCTGTTATTCCACCTGTACCTACTCTGACCTATGGAACAGAGGTACCAAGTGAATGAATGTATATTTGGGAAGGCAGAAGCAATAGAAATTTCCAATTAGGTTTACCATGAGCATCTGGGTAGGAATATCTCTCTCTCTCTCTCTCTCTCTCTCTCTCTCTCTCTCTCTCTCTCTCTCTCTCTCCTTTGTACCAGGGATTAAACCCAGGGGCACTTAACTACTGAGCCACATCCCCAGCCCTTCTTATTTATTATTATTTTTTTTAATTTTGAGGACACAGTCTCTCCCTAAGTTATCTAGTGCCTTGCTAAATTGCCAAGGCTGGTTTTGAACTTTTGATCCTCCTGTCTTAGCCTCCCAAGTTGCTAGGATTATAGGTGTTTGCTACTATGCCTGGCTATAGGAATCATGAATTTAAATGATGGGACTTCAAACTCCAGATGTAAATTTTTTCAATGATAAGAACATTCACAAGATGGGAAAATGGGGGTGTAGGGCAGAGCATGAATACAATACATCATCTAATAATAATGTAATGATGCATGCTACAAATACTTGAGATATAAAATAATGAGGATAATGAAGAATGAAGAAAAACAGAATTTGCAAATGAAAATAATGTACAATGAAGATCTTACCAAGTTGCCAGTGCTTAGCAGATAGCTGTGGTCATCACTCATTGGATAGTGTTCCCAGGCCAAAAAATATATGTTTAATATTATGCATATGAGAAGAAAAAGATCAGTAAATGGGTCTGTTATGAGCCTATGGACAAATTCTTTCAATTTTAACCAACAGGGAGAACAATTCCAGATCAAGAAAATTTTGGAAAACCTATACCAACACAATGGGCACTTCTTCCTGGATTTTTTAAGTTCTGAAATGAAAGAATAGAAAGGTTAAACATTAGAAAATAGTTTAAATACTAACTAATAGAAAATAATTGAATTTTGTCTGCAAAGGAAGGTTTAGAACTAAACTTCCGATTTGGAGTTATTAATTAGAAATATCATATATGAAAATAAAACAGAGAAAAATAAATTTCCCCTATTTTATTTATGCCTGATTAGTTTAGCTGTGATAATGCTTTACTGGAGAAAGAAACTGAAATAAAAATGAGGCAAACTACATATGAGTAGAAAAACATAGAAATATCTACCAAGAAAACAAATATAAAATAACATAATTGAGAACATTATGATTTAAAATTTCTATACTTATACAATTTACAAATAATGTTGTTCTGTATTGCCCAAGATAAAGAATTGCCAGTTAAATGTAAAAACTAGAGATGAGTCTAGAAAGGACCCTGAGATATTAATGTTATACAGTTGAGCTTTGAACAATGTGGGGATTATGTACAAAGACACCTGTGCATTAAAAAATCCTGATGTGGGGAAAATTATATTCCATGCTGGTAAGATTATGTCAAAATAAACCCAAATATTATTATAACTGTAATGCACTGATAAAAATTTTTAAAAGCCCAGATGTAAGTTGACTGGCTCCAAACCTAAGTACCAATAGCCTCATGTTGACCAGAAGCTTTACAGATAACATAAACATTCAGTGAACAGTTTATATGTATATGTATTATATATGCTAGAACTATGAGAGATCACTTTTTTCCTGAAATTTTTATTGGTGCATTATACTTGTAATATAATGGTGGGATATTTTGTTACATATTTGTACATGCAAAACATAAGAGTATAATTTGACCAATATCAAGAGCCACTTTTAGCTGTGATATACGCTTTACTGGAGAGAGAAACTGCTCATGTGGAGATGATTAACATCATATGACATTCTCAGCAGGTGTTACCAACTGAGCTCATGCAATAGCAACAGGACATGATTACAGGATTATTACCATGGAACAATAGGTACTACAGTTAATTTTATGCAGTTATGATTTAATATTGCATTTTTACATTGGTTTACATTTTCTCAACAGCAAATAGCATGTAAGATCATGTAAGATCCCGTGTGTGCATGTTTTGACAATTTTAACTTTCTATAATAGATTTGTGGATATTTTATGGTATTAAGCAATAAATAGACCATTATGTACACATTTCAGGCATTCATCAAATACCTAACTTTTTCTTAATTTTTTCAATATTTTTAGCCTGAGTCACCTGTAAGGTTTTTAAAATTGTCATAAATCTTCCAATAAATCTACATGTAAGTGGACCCACAGTTCAAATCTGTTATCAAGGGCAAGCTGCGTACTCCAATTTCTAATTTTAGTCACATTTTAATAGTTCAACATATTAAGATTTAGAGAAAATTCCACATTATTCTTTGATGGTAAGTTCCAATGTTCAAGACACTTTGCTTTTGAAGTTTGTATGTATCATTCATTCTCATATTCTCACAGTTTTCTTAAATTTTGGTTATTGCCACCCAAGGTTTGGAAGCTATTGCTTCAGAAATTCTGGTATCAGGATTTATTTACAAGAGACTCTTAGGAGTAGTACCTTCCACAGTGAGTATCTGACAATTTTATCATATTACCTTCTTTATGTCTGAGGGTATCTTCTTCCAATACATCCAAAGATGTGTTCATGGAAGCTGGTGATCTTTTCTTCATTTCTATTTGTGTGGTTTTACTCTGAAAAGAAAATTAGTTTAATACTGGCTTCTACCTTTTACATGTCCAAGACTCTAACTATGAGAAGGTATCTCACCAATCTAAAATGATGATTCTTAACCTCCAGGAGACTTTCTGGGTTTTATCATTTGTAGTTCTTCATATTATTGGCAATATTAAAATGATTTAGGGTTATTTGGGAAACAAATATTATAACTTGCATCCAATAAAATTTTGTACTATGAGCTAAACTATAAAAAGAGTAAATGTTAGTAGATTTTAGTGGTATTATTCATAACTGAAAAACAATTCAATAAGATTATTATAAAATATCTAGTCAGTAAATATGCTACTGATTAATAAGAATATTTTCCTAATATGTTAATTTTTTGTTTAAAGACATGTTAACTTTATACCTTTGTAAATTATCTGGATAAAATGATATGATTTGGCTTTTTGATGATGAAATAAGTCTCCAAGAATATCAGATAATGGAATGAATTTTAAAGAGTTACCTGGGATAGGTATCATTTCTTTCTGTTTCTCATGTGTCTTGAGTAATGTTTTTTGTTTTGGTTTGTTTTTAAGTGATGCTCTGCTTTGCTCATCTTTTTAACAGGTTGAAATAATTCTTGCAGGGGAAAGGTGCTCAAAAGTCCTAGGATTTGATGTAGCTATTACAGTCTCTACACATTCCTATTAATCACAAGAATGGCCAAAGATATTTCTAGTGATGTACAAAATTGAACTCATCTGACAATGAGTAGATATTGCATGGTAGTGATTTCCAAGTGTTTTCACAATGGGAGCACAAAGAATGACAATATTTCTGTATTTGTTAATGTGGTGTAGATAGGTGAGACTGCCCTTTAATGGAGTCATGGGGGCTGCTGCTGCCCCAGCACTGAGGAAATTAGTTGAGGCTTACTGACTGATAATGCATAGCCAGCACATTCTTGTGGCAAATTCTGCTATAGCATATCTGAAGTGGCTAGTAGCTAGCAATGGAGTCATGATATTCAGTTCATTCAGAATCAGCCAAATATCCTTTAATTTCTTAAGTAGTAGAGTTAGAGGAGTTAAAAACCACTTATACTGCATACTGAGCTTCACCAGGAAAATGGCAGACATGGTGGGACTACAGAGCTTCATTTCCTAACTGAAAAAATAAATTGAAATGGTAAGCTAACAACTCAGGTTGTGAGATTTAGTTTATTTACTAAAATTGTGTTTTTTTTTCCCAGAAAGTATATTTTAGCTGAATTACAAGGTTACACAAAATAGAAGTTATAATGCATAGAATTCTAATTTTCCATGAGATAAAAACCAACAAAAGGAAAAATTGGATCAGGGTTTTATATATTCTACTTTATGTTATTTTTATCATACATATGATATTTTGCAATACAGTGCAGAATATCCCAATTAATTCCTGAATTCACAGGAATTACTTCTTATTGAGCTATTGTTTAGAGAGCAACAATATTTGTTGGGATCGCACTAATGAAAAATAAATTATACAGCAAAGATAACTAGTATGTGTGAAAGGGGTTGAAAGTGAGATCATCAAGAATGTTATTGCTATATAGTTGAGGCTCAATTTTTTATTAATTTAGCCTGAATTATGAAGATATTTTAGAATATAAAAAGAATGAACCACATACAAGGTTAGTAATATGTTTACCTTGACTGAGTTTCTTACAAACATTGAATGAATGCCCACAATTTGCCTAACTAGTAAGGATATAGTTATTTACAATGCACTAGCTATTTTTTTTTTAAATTAAGTGTTGATTTCCTTATTACATAAAATAGAAGTTATCATTTGCCTGAACTTTAAACAGCTCTACATCATGATTAGACTGGGAAAAGGGTCAAGGATTCTTCTTTTCATAACTGGTTTAAATTTTCTTTGCTGGAGATTCATGAATAAGGAAGAACACTTGCCTACTTCCTGCACTTATCTCTGAATATCTGGCCTGCTCATCATGGACTTGCTCTCCTCATGAAGCCACAAAGGCCTTTCTAATTCATCTGATTCATCTGCTCCCTCCTTCTCCTTAGTGCGGATGCTCCCTTCCACCTCTCTGCTCAAGTGTCAGCTTTTTATAAAAACCTTTCCTGACTCAGACATCATTTATTAAAGGCTCTCAAAGCACCATGTCTCTTTGCTTCATTGGACTTGTCCCATTTGAATTAATATTTTTTTTATTTTTTATTCATTTTTTTGAATTAATATTTTTTGAATTAATATTTTTTAAAAATAGAGGATAATACAATGAATAACAATGTATCCAGTATCCACCCCCAACAATTTATTTCATTTATTTTCACTCTATTTTTTTCTGAAATATTTAAAATAAAATTCAGACATTGCATAATTTTCAGAAAAACCTTTTAAAAAACATATATCACAGTACCATTAAGATGATCAGCAAATTGGTAATTCTCTAATATCCAACACCTAGATCATACTCAGTTTTCTTTCATTGCTCAAAAACATTCCACTGTAGTTGAACTGTTCAAATCAAATACAAGCAAGGTCAATATATTACATTTGTTTGGGAGATTTATTAACTATCTTTGATTTTTATGAACTATCTTGTGATTTTTATTTATTTTCTCTAATATGACTTATTTTTTAAAGATACGGGGTCACTTCTAGTATATAGAGTTATCCAAATTCTTTATTAGACATACTGTATCCTTTCAGTACAATTTAATAGGTCCTTCTTTCTCCTGTCTTTCATTAATAAAGGCAAAAGAATATACCAAAAGGCTGACTAGATTTAACTGGGATCTCAGCAAGAGTATAATGTACATTGGGCATTGTGTTTCCTACTCGTCCTCATTTTGTGTTCCAGAGATACAATTTTATGTTTGTGTCAATTTTATAGTTTATTTCCCCACGAAGCACTAGCTTCATGAAGATAAACACTGTATTTGTATTTATTAAAAGTTTTCCATCTCCATTTCTTAGTTGAGTTGGAATAATGCTTTAAATTAATTACTTACTTGAGCTACATGATGTTGGCTTAGATGTGAAAATATTTTTTAAAATATTTATAATACTACAATTTTTTATTTTTTATTTTTTTGGGGTACTAGGGATTGGACTCAGGGGCACTTGACCACTGAGCCCCATCCCCAACCCTATTTTGTGTTTTATTTAGAGACAGGGTCTCCCTGAGTTGTTTATTACCTTGATTTTGCTGAGGCTAGCTTTAAACTCTCCATCCTCCTACCTCAAACTCTCTAGCTGCTGGGATTACAGGCATATACCACTGCACCCGGTTTACTGCAGTTTTAAGTGTCTGACTTTCTTCCTGAGGTTTTGCCAGTAGCAAACAGTAGGAAAGTTTTACCTGCACACTGTGTAACTGGAGGAATGACAGTGTCTCAGCATTGGCCCTCCAGAAAAGGCAGAGAAGTGGAGAATGATGGGTTCTCCTCAATTTAGAGAAACCTGATACCAGTGAGTATAGATCACACTAAGAGTGGGAACAATAAGGATTAAACTTGAGAATTCCGGAGGACAGGTCATATATCTGTCACACAGGCTAATGATTAACTTTATTGGCTGTTAATATTATCATTGCTCATGTTGTTTTAATTATGCAAACATACAAAGACTTAAGAATTTTGTATTAATGAACATTTCTTCACTGGGACAATGGTGCCCATTGGCTCTTTATAATCTTTATTACATATGAGTTAAAGTTGATAGTGTACAACTATAAGAATTTTAATATTGGGTTTATATTGTGGCTAGTTCTACATTTTCTTCTTTGGAGACTAAAACTCAATTTTCTCATATAAGATTTTACGATAATTTCTATGACTCAAAAGGTTGTCATGTGGGTAATGTTATCACATATACAAATCATCTTCATAGAATTTGACACACAGTAAATGAACAATACCTGTCACATGATATGAATATTATATTGTTATAAAAATCTACATCTGAAATGTGAGGTTTACTCAAAGACAGACTTTTTTTTCTATAATGATCAAGGTTTTAAGTGGATTGTTGTGTGTGATAGTATGGTTAAAAGCTATCTTTGATACTGACATGTTATTATAATTTTATTAATATTTCCATATAAAATTTTTATGTTGCCTAATATCATCTAAACATGACAAAGTGCTTTATGTGTGTTTGTTTCATTTGGAATTCCCAACCACTTATAAGACAGATACTGTAATCATATATATTTGATGTATAAAAAAAATTAGCAAGGATAGTGGACTTCACAAATATCATACATCTATTAAGTGGCTGAAATGAATTGAAACCTATTATATAAATACTTAAATCTACATATTTATCTGATAGCAATATGACCTGCATCTTTCCTATAATATGGTAATATGAAGAATCTAATCCATCTCCCTATAATTCCAGCATTGGAATTGGAATCTAACTGTTCTTTAATCACATTAGTCACCTAAAGAATCCTTGGTATATTACATTTTAGATTCTTCTCTCCCTGTGTTTTCTTTTATATAAAATAAGTCTTAAGAAAATTTTTTTTTTTTTTTTTTTTTTTTTTTTTTTTTTTACTCTCACTTCCCAGAAAACCCTGCATGACCAAAAGTTCTAAGCATCTTTCAGGAAAAGAAGATCTTTAAAATTGAAAGATTTTCATTAAAAGCAGGAAGGCTTTATATAATCCCAAGTAGCAAAGTGAGAGGAGATATTGGGAAATATTCAGTTCTTTCATAATCAGAGCTAATAGAGCATTTCATCTTGGGATAAGAGGACTATTGTTCTACTCTTGGATACATTTGTGGGTACCCACAAGTCCTTGAGATCCTGAAATGCCACTTCAGAACAAATTACATATTCAGCATACCATTCAGACACTAATCATTCAATCTGAAGGACCTGGGACTCATTTTTGGACAAAAACAGTTTCTGTAATTTGTTTTTCTGTGACTTACTCATGAGTGTTAATAGCCTGCTTTTTATACATGTTTTCTTCACAGAGTTCATAACTGCTTCTTGTTCAAGGGTACATGTGTTACAGACACAACTATCTATCAAGCCATTGGACATGATCCCACATCCTGTCATTTAGGCTCCACCTTTGGGTATGGTGATTTTCTGGAGCTTCTACCACTAATGGTGGCTTAACAAAACATTTATCTCTTTGGGAGAGTTAACACTGCCCCCTTTTGGATTTAGAAGGGAACTTTGTTATTAATGAACCACACTACCAGCCCTCCACATCCAGTTTGGTGTCAGAGTATATGTTGGCTCTTTCCTTTTCCCTGGGTCTTATCAGCTTAATATGGAAGAGTTTCCAGGTATGGCTCCTCTCTATGCTTTGTCCTCTGCTTTAGTCAAGACCCTTTTCCCATCTCCTAGAAAAGGGAAGAGCTGTGAGAGTTCCTGAAAAATAACAAAAAGTATTTCTGGTGGCTTTCTTCAGTTCTTTTCTCTCTCTCTCTCTCTCTCTCTCTCTCTCTCTCTCTCTCTCTCTCTTTTCTTTTCTTTTCTTTTTATTTTTTTTAGTTATTGGTACACCTTTATTTTATTTATTTATTTATATGTGGTGCTGAGAATCAAACCCAGTGCCTCACACATGCCAGGCAAGTGCATTACCACTGAGCCCCAGCCCCAGCCCCCTCAGTCCTTTTCTTTTTAGCACACTGTTAGAACTATTAAGATTTTAAAAATTGTTTTCCCACAGCTTCATTAATGTTACTCCATCGGGACTTTCAAATTCACAGACTGAAATTTTTTGCTATGAGGCTAGTAACCTGGAAAAATATTCAAATGCAACATTAATTAAAAATTAGGGCAAAATGTTTTTAGTTTCTACTACTGAACGATTAATTATTCGGTGGGTAAATTAATTCCCTATAATTATGAGGCACAGTTTATTTCCTCTTGAAGGAGTTAGAAAGTCAAGAATTTTCTCTGTGATTTTGGTACTGTGTTCTTACCCATTCTTTTAGTGTTTCATACTTTCTAATTTATGATAGACTATCACTTTTAAGTTGGACATAGGCATTTTCCAAAGTTAATTCTGATGTGCTCTGTGAACCAAGTTTAAATCAGTAAAGTGTAGCTGTATTGGGAGAAGTACACTTCTAAAGACATATAATCTCCATAGTTTATCATCAGTAGCAACGTAAATTTTGAAACAGAAAGTATACAAATTAAATATTAAAACATCTTGGTCATTCTGACTATAATGTACCAAGAAAGGAAATTCATATTTAAATTCCTGTTATGAAAACCATTTTGATTTTTTGATCACATTCACACAGAGATAAGGGCGTCTATCAGAAAGCAATATATTCCAAGACCTTGAGAAGATACCTCCAGAACTGTGATTCTCAGAAGCATAAAAAAGTTATACCTCAGCTTCTTCGCTTCCTTCCTGAAGTTTGCTTATAGGCTGTTGAAATGTTGGTTCCTCCTTAGATTTTTCATCAGTTGCATGCTTTCCTTCTTCATAGGCCATGGCAAGTATGCCCAAGAACAAACTTGCCAAATAAAAGGCAAACCAAAAGCTGACCACAGCAAAAAATATCATGTAGATCTTCCCAGAAGCATAAAGAATCTAAGAAGAAGTAGAATGCAGGAAAAAAGGAGGACATGTTACTCATCTTTCTCTATTCTCCTATTTTAAAATGAACAATGAAATTGTAATATGAAAATAATTTAGTAATAAGTACAGTATAATCACAAGACAGCTTAAGTACTGGCTCTACCTGAAGAAAGAAAAAATTTTCATATATGTATATATGATATAAAATATATACTTCAAAACAAAAGGATGAATTAAATAATTTAATTAATTTAGGGAGAACAGAAATGAACAAAATAGGGGCCACTATTATGGAATAGAGTTCTGTTTAACAGGGTATCTATCATTTATTGTGTACCTATCGTATAAGTTTGTAGCAAGAGACTGAAGGCAGATAATAGGAGACTAAAATTTAGGCACAGGGCACATCATTTATGGAAACAAGGAATTATGAGAAATATAATTAGGAGAAATAAATATATAAAAAGTATATATGTACATATATATACTCAAACAGAGTATATAGTACATACTGATATATTGCCAAAAGATAAATCTGGACAAGTATGTAGAAACTAGATCTGAAAGGGCACTATGTGTCATGCACAGGGACTTCGAACTTCATTCCATGGACATTTAGAAACCACTAAAGGAATTTTAGAAGGAGGATAACATGCCAATTTTGTTTTAGAAATAAAAAGTTCCTGGTATTATGGAAGAAGCACCAATACTTGTCAAAAATGTTAGGAGATAACAATAAAAATACGAAATTAGCAAAATTTGAAAAACAGTTTATATAAAGAAAAAGATATCATTTGTAATATTTTCATGTATTTCTTTTGTCACAAATGCAATTATATTACATGTATGTTTAGTCTATTTGATTTCCATTTGATAATATATTTTGAACCTTTATGCCTAAAATACTTATTATATCATTATTAATGACACATATATACGTACAATACTTCCCATAATTTATCTTGTCAATCAAAATAAGCATAGCATGTGTGTAAGTTTTGTTGATGTTTGCAGTACTAGGGATTGAACCCAGGTGTATTTTCCAATAAGCTACATCCCCGGCCCTATTTATTTATTTATTTTTATTTTCTTATTTTTTGATACTGGCAATCAAACCCAAGGATGTTCTTCCACTGAAGTAAATCCCCTGTCTTTTTGTTTGTTTGTTTGTTTGTTATCAGGGATTGAAACCAGAGGTGCTTAGTCACGGAGTCACATCCCCAGCCCTTTTTTATTTTTAGATAGGGTCTTTCTAAGTTGCTTAGGGCCTCGCTAAGTTGGTGAGACTGGACTTGAACTTGAGATCCTTCTGCCTCAGTTTCCTGAGCTGGTGGGATTACAAGCACGTGACACCACACCAGTCTCCTCTGTTCTTCTTTAGTTACTTATTTTTGGAGACAAGATCTCACTATGATGCTTGAGACTGGCCTTGAACTTGTGATCCTCCTGCCTTAGCCTTCTGAGTTGCTGGGATTCCAAGCACCTGCCACCATGTGTTGCAGTCCTTATTTTTAATTTTGAGACAGGGTCTTTTTTATTTTGAGGCAAGCCTTCAACTTGTCATACTCCTACCTTAGTCTCCTGAGTAGCTGGGATTGAAGATGTGCACCACAACACCTGGCATATGTGAATGTTTGAAAAAATAATGGTCTCTATGACCCATAAATACCTTCAGAATTTAGAGTAATTTGTATTAATTTACTACATTTTGCTTATTAACTATGTTGCTTTGAAAATAATTTTCATTTTCTAATGTGATGGTACTTCTCATTAAATAAAAACTGATCCTCCATTTTAACGAATATTATACATTTCTGAGAATCTGTGTCACATATATAATTAGTTCTGAAGATGAATTCTTAGAATTTGGAGTTTAAATCTCATAGGAGCAAGCTGTCTGTTAATGTAAGTGGAGCAAGAATTAGTATCAAAGTGGAATGAGAAGAAATAGAAGAATAAAAAGAAACAGTACACTGAATTCAAAATATTTGTTTAATACATGGTAATTTCATAGGCTTAATATTTTGACTAGAGAATTACCTAGAAATGCTCTTAATTAATATCAAAGGGGTAAATATCACAGGCTTTGGAGCAGGAGAGTGAGCTCTAGCAGGGACATCTGTTGTGGGAAGATTGCCCAGTCTATCTGAACCTCAGTGTCTCATAAAAAGCAGAGGTGCTACTCAACTTAAGATGAGATCACTTCGCAATGAACTCATCACACTTTGAAAGCATCACAAGTCCTAAGTAGACCCAACCTACTGAACTGCATAGCCTAACACCACAGTACAACCATACAGTATTGGCTGTTTCCCCCTTGATGGCATGGCCCTCTGGGGAGCTGTATCTAGCTACTGTTGCCCAGCATGAAGTATTCAAACCACATATCACAAGCTAGGGAAAAGATCAAAATTCAAAATTTGAAGTGTAGTTTCTACTGAATTTGTAACATATCAACACCATTGAAAGAATTTTAAATGAAACCATTGTAGTTAGGAACAGTTCGTACTGATTTCTTAGAATTGTTTTAAGGATTAAATAAGATATCACATACAAAAGCAGACCTGGCACGACAGCTAGTTTAGAATCTGACATTCACTAATTCTGGTTCTCTTTTCTTCTGTCTTTAAATTATTCTCTACATCAAAATTTAATGAGTTTTTTTTTTTTTGTTTTTTTTTTTTACATTTGATCATTATTTTAGAAGACAGGTCTTGGCCCAGTTTTAAAGGTAATGAATATGTTCTCTGTTCTTACCTGGTGATAAAGTGCTTCAGGATAATCCTGAGTCATTAATCGAAATAGGGCAAGTAAAGCCCACCCAAAGTTGTCAAAATTTGTGTAGCCAAGGTCAGGATTTATGCCAGCTTTTACACACACATATCCTTCAGGACACTGACTAAAGGAGATGAAGAAAAGAAAAACTGCTTACTCTTAGGTGACATTCAAATTATGGCCAAATCATAAATATAGAACATTTGTTCATGAATGGTTAGGGGCTCCCCTTTCCACAAGAATTAGTCTTCTCTCCAAAAATGTAAAGCCAAAACAATGCATGATTTTCAGTTGATACACATGAACACTATTAATCAAGCTAAAATAAAAAGGGGTTCCAAAAAATGGATTTTTCAGACTGTATTTTTTGCATCAATTTATTTATTATAAACAGCAAATAAAAATTGTATTCATTTACAGGTACAACATGATGTTTAGAAATCTGTATACATTGTGAAATGGCTAAATCAAGCCAATTAACATATGTATTACCCACATACTTATTATTTTTTATGGTGAGAATACTTAAAAATCAAATGCCTTGGCAATTTTCAAGAATATAACAATATAGTGTTAACTCTATCTTTGCTATCCAAAATTAAGTGAGAAATATCCAAAAGTCAAAATGAAAGTTCAGCTGTTAGAAAATGATTCTGATAAAATAAATATGCCAAGATGGAGAGTTTAATTTTCAAATGCTCTCTCCTCAAACTCTTAGATCCTACTATTTAGGGGTGAGAAAACATTTATCACATCAATAATTGATAAGCAGAACTTGCACTTGGGGAGAATAATCAGATTAAATATTAATTTTCTTTCCTTTTAGGGACTCCTCAAACTTTTATGTTGTGGTAGAGTATTACAGTAGTGACCCAATAAGTCCTACTTCTCTCTAGCCAAGCTCTTGAATAGTTCCTTCCCACAATATTTTGAATTTAGTCGTGTCATATGTTTTAATATTCATTAATGGAACAAAGCAGTGTTGTTTAAAAAGCACTTGTGCATTTTTTAAAAAGTCTTTTTAGTTATAGATGAACACAATATCTTTATTTATTTTTTTGTTTATTTTTATGTGGCGCTGAGGATTGAATCCAGTGTGTCACATGTGTGAGGCAAGCACTCTGCAAATGGGCCACAACTTTGAGGCTTTCTAAATTGCAGACCCGCAGAATATGAGCAAATCAGTTTTTTATTGCTATATTTAGTCACTAACTCAAGAGGTAGTTTATCCACGCAGTCAAGTAAGATCAGTATAAGTGAAACATCCCATGACATTGTCTTCTTGTCTTGAAATATATCATTGTGTTTTATATATTAATCCCCAGTTACCTTCAAAATGCATTTCAGATCTTATTTGAGTTAGGGATGTACATAAGAAGAGCTAGTTAAAGTAGGATGTACAGATACTAGATGGTTTCTTGGGTTCAATTTGAGAATAATATGGAAGCCCAGCAGTATTGGATGCAATGATTTGTGCTGAGTAGGTGATAAAATGTCTAAATCACCCGAACTTAACTAAGCTATAACACTTATGCTACTTCCCAGAAATTATGCCTTTTGTGGATATGGGCCCCAGATCCTAAGAAAGAGTTGAGCCTGTGGATAGACGTCAAGTCATTCCAACTATGCAAAGTAAGACAGGGAGATCACACAAGTTCAACAATGCTGAGAAGTGCCCTGTTTCTACTTTTTTATTTGCTCCATCTGAAATTATAGGAATATAAGACATGAAAACTTTGTTATCTCACTAATCAATTATTTATAAATAGTGTTTCAATAATAACAATTTTATTAAGGTAAGTTCTTTTTTAATATTTTTTTAGCTGTAGTTGGACACAGCACCTTTATTTCATTTATTTATTTTTATTTGGTGCTGAGGATTGAATCCAGGGTCTTGCATGTGTGAGGCGAGCGCTCTACCATTGAGCCACAGCCCCAGCCCACTATTAAGGTAAATTCTAACCCTAAAAGTCATATAAGACATAAAAAGTGAAATGACAGCACATCTTTAATATGTCTGTTCTTTAAAAACTTCCAGCCAAAGAACAGATTTAAATTGTCTTTCTTGGTATTTTTTATCTCATTAAGGTAAGAGCACACTGGAAACAGAAGATCAGACCCTAGTTGAAGTTCTAGCTCTTCAATCTGGTAGCTTTTTGACCTTGAATGCAGGATTTCTGTAAAACTGAATTACTACTACCATATGTATACTTTTGATATGATCAAAATCTGTATGCTAAAATTCTAACCCCCCAAGTGGTTGCATTAGGGGGTGGAGTTTATAGTAAATGTTCAGGTCAGAGCAAAGCCTCATAAAAATGATTAATGTCTTACAGTAAAAAGACATATCTATAAGCAAATAAGTGGGCTCTTGCCAGATAACAAATTTGCTGGTGCTTTGATCAGAACTTTTCAGCCTCCTGGACTGTAAGAAGTAAATTTCCATTGATTTTAAGCTGCATAGTCTGCAGTATTTTATTACATACCTCCCAAAGGGAGTAAGAGAACTTCTTAGTTTGACTTTGATAATAAAACGAGATAATGTAATTAACTGGGAAGCAGTGATAAAAGAAATGATCACTCAATAAGTACTATTGATGGATATTCCTGACTTGATAGAAGAAAACATTAGCACCACTCACCCAGCATCTGTTGTGTTGCCACAAAGGAGAGCATATCGTTCCCCTTCCAAGTAGTAAAAGTTCTCTGTTTCTGTAAGATAAGAAAGACATCATGTTCTATATCTGATCTTGAGTTAGTAGCTACTTGGACCTCCATAGAAGATGAGCACCACTTTACAGCTGAAAAGGAAGCAGCAAGTATCCTGATGTTTTTTACCTACCATCTGATGCACATGTCAAAAGGCCTTTGAGGATGTGAAGTTTCACTGCCCTGGTAGTGATAAGCTCGGTACAAAAAGGGGAAAATTCCTTTCAAAATTAGAGTTCAGGAAAAATCAATAAAATTGCCAGGTCTGACCAGAGTTCTGAAGGAAGAAAAATTTCCAAGATTATATTGTTTGAAAACTGAAGACCTTTCCCCCCAAGGTTTATTCCAGATGAGCTATGTGAGCAAGAAGTCCAGATTCCACTGTCCCTGGGTTTAATTTATGAGTTCTTCCTACCTTGAAGTTGATTCTACTACATTCATACAGTGCCATCTACTAGTAATAATATCTCATAATTTCAACCACAATCCTTGCTAATATAAGTCATGGTCCACAAAATGTATCCAGATGTCTTAACATCTTCTGTTAATCAAAATGTATCAAATGTAAATTGTGTATTTGTAGATAGTAGATACCATGTTGCATAGTGTGAACATGGTTATTTAGGAGTTTTGGCTTTTAGTTTCTAGATTCAAATTACATGGACCAAGCCCAAGGGATGAATGGATGGAAGGGTGGACAGACGTGTGTGTGTGTGTGTGTGTGTGTGTATAAATTACCCTAATACAAGGAATATGACTTTAATTTGTCACCTAAAATAATTTTAGAATAATTTTGAAGTTATGAATAGCTCAGTAACATTGATTAGGTTTTTTGGCTGGCAGTCAAAAAGCAAATGAAATTTGACATTAGTAGCACTGAATGGTATAAAGTATTCTCCATGCAAGAACTATGATATGGCAATTGGGTTGAAAAGGTTTTATGAACATAATATTTTCTGCAGTTCTTAACATGTCATTTGAGGAAAATAAATAAATACAGTTGGATAGATTTTAAAGTGATAATCCTTAAAATGATATTTAAAAATTATAATTTTTAACATGTATTTTTAGCTGTAGGTGAACACAATACCTTTATTTTATTTTTATGTGGTGCTGAGGATTGAACCCAGTGCCTTATGCATGTTAGGGGAGAGCCCTATCACTGAGACACCACCCCAACTCCTATAATAGTGTTTTTTAACAAAGATAAAAAAATCCGGGGTCTGTTTTCTTAGTAGTGACCAGACAAGTAGCAAAATTGTTTATTTTCAGTTAATTAGCATATTTTTATTACAACATCAAAGAAAGCAATGGGAATTTCAATTAGAATCTAAGATTTAAGCTTCATCTCTCCTTGTCTTTAATACTTGATTTAGGATGATGACATAGATACATACAAATATTCAAACATTTCACAAACTCATATTTTAATAATTTTGTGTTACTTGCATCATAATCATATGATGCAAGAAACCAAACAGTAAAAGTTGTTATGATTTGCTTTAGAACTTACTAAATTCAAAATATAAGTAAATTAATATAGCACAGGTACATGACATTTGTTAATATATTATTCATAATGGTTGAAAACTAGGTTTTTATTATCATAAACAATGTCAGGAAAAACTTGATAATTTTAATATGAGAGGAAAATGCAGTAAAGAAGCATGACCTGGTGAAAATGAAACAGATTTTAAAGGCAGCTTGAGCTTGGACACAATCCTAGTTTTACTACCTAGTAGTTACAATGCCCTAGAACACTAGCTTAATTTCTCTGCATTATTATTTCATTGTTTTGCAACAGGGCAGTGGATATTGTCTTATCTCAAAAATTATGATGAATATATGAGACTGGACATAAGAATTACTTATGCATAAGAGCTAATCAACATTGATTGTCCTGCATTACTATTTTATGACTAAATATTTCCATTACTTAACAAAGTAGAACCAAAAGTATTTAATTTAAATGTGCAATAGTAATTGAAATCCAACATAGTAAGAATTCACAATATAGGAAAAAAAATTTAATTTTAAGTCATCTCAAAAATTTTAATGATCAAATTTATATTTAAAAAATTATTGAAAAAATGTAAATATTATGATGCTCATACTTTAATCTGTTTCTGATAAAATTGAAAATTAGACTTATATTATTTTAAAGAATAATATTTGAAAATTTAGGTTCCCTTGATTTAACTCAAGGAAGATTGAAACTTTGCTATCTTGATAAAATAAAAAAACAAAAGCAAAGCAGACTCAAATTAATCTTTCACATAGCTACAGCATTTAAATAATTTGCCCTGAAGTTGAGAGTTGAAACTATTCTGTTTTCATTTATGATGTAGATGGCAGGTGATTCTTACCTCGAATGTAATATGGGTTTCCAGTTCGGTTGTGCAGGGTCTCATTTTCATTTTCTTGGGGCCATCGCAAGCATTTATGCTTTAAGTTGCCCATGAAGAGTCCCATTCCAATTAGAGAAAATATGCTCAGAAAAAACAGAGTTAAGATAATGGCACCAAAAAGTTTCTTCAAGCACTGGATCAGGGTCTCTACAAGGGACTTCAGTCCTGGAAAGAGAAAGGTGTGTTTTGGTAAAAACAGAAATCTTTGTTTTTATGTAATTTTATTGATTAAAAAAAATAAATGACAGCGGAATGCATTACAATTCTTATTACACATATACAGCACAATTTTTCATATCTCTGGTTGTATATAAAATATGTTGACTCCATTTTGTGTCTTCATAGATGTACTTTGGATAATGATGTGACAAATTTCTCCCAAATCAATTGAAATCAACAGGTTAATCTAATTAACTAGATCTAGCAAAGTGAGTAAACATCAAACTTTGAAGTTTCTGTATTATTGCTAGTTTATAACACCTGATGAGATAATTCAGACAGAATATTTAAAACTGGATTTTTTGTTTGTTTCTCTTGACTAGACAATAAAACGGCTTTCTCTCCTTTGCTACTTGTCATGCCAACTGTGATGATGAGTATAAAAGCAAAGATGTAAAGTTATAAATCAAAATTCACCGAAGATATTAAAACAAGAAATAGTTTGAAATAACATCATTCTGCACAATTTTTTAGTTTTATAAGAATTCAATTTTGGAGCTAATAAATAAAACTCGTGACAATAATTTTCATGATTAGGAATGAGAATTAGTAATGAGGTTAACTTTGTATCAAAAGTTTCCTGGGCTGGGGATGTGGCTCAAGCAGTAGCGCGCTCGCCTGGCATGCGTGCAGCCCAGGTTGATCTTCAGCACCACTTACAAACAATGATGTTGTGTCTGCCGAAAAACTAAATATTAAAATTCTCTCTCTCTCTCTCTCTTTAAGAAAGAAGAAGTTTCCTAAGTGAGAAGTCAAACTTAAATCTGGATTTAAGGACATATATTTATTTCTTTTAATTATTAAGTAACATACACTATATTCTGAAAACATAGGAAACTAGAAGAGAAAAGCAAAAATAATGCAATTAGCCCTCTGAGAGGAAACTGCTATCAACATTTTGGTGTGTAACTTTATTCCTCCCTTCCTCCTCCTTGCCTTTCTTTCTTTCTTCTTTCCTCAGCTGCTTTACCACCTGCTGCCATGGCTCTCTTCTTGTCTGTCTGACAAGAAGAACACTTTGAGAACACTTACAGATGTTCAGCTCAACAATGCATGAGAGAATATAGTACTCTGTGATAATTAGCAAGTTATCAACATTTCTATGCATCAAATTTATTATCTTTAAAATGAGAACACTATTTCATTTATTGTGAGAAATGAAAATCTTTTTTTTTTTTTGACAGTCTCTTGTTATGTTGCCCAGGCTGGTCTTGAACTCCTGGACCTTAGAGATTCCCCTGCTTCAGCCTTCCAAGTAGCTGGGACTAGAGGCGTGTGCCACTACACTTGACAACTCTTTGGTTTTTATATATCTGTATTTCCCTTTTGATTTAATGTGATTCCTGTTTTGAATAAGCGTTAATTTATTTCTCTAGTATTTTAGATAAAATATATCTGTTTTAGAACTTCTGTCAAATTTCAGTTGTAGTTTTGGGCCAATATGTAAATTTCTACATAGAAAAAAATAATTAAGAGCTGGGAGGATTGTAGTACAATGGTGAAGTGCTTGCCCAGGATGCCTCAGGTTCTGGGTTCTACCCTTAGCACTGGGGTGGAGGGGGGGATGGTATTTGCTCCAATTCTTCTACACAAGAAAAGAAAATTACCGATTTTCCCCATTTCTCTATTCCCATCTCTGAAGTTTTTTAAAAAAATATAATTAGACTTAATTACTACATTATTATATATTTTATTTATTCATAGCATTATATGTAATCTGTCATGATGTATTGGACAGGCAACATTCAAATCTTTACAAGAGTTTAAGAGGAAAGTTAAATTCATGCAAATAGGGTGTTGAGAGGGCATGGCAGGAACTTAAAGGAGAAGCAGCTTAAAGGGGAAGCAGCTCTTTAACTACAACAGGGTGTTTCCCATTCACAAATGTGGGTGGATCCATGCTGAATATTCAGCTGAGTTAATTTAGATTTCATTGAAAATTATCAAGTTTTTTTTAAATTCTGGTATCTATTTGAAAGTTTTCTAAAACACAAATTGTCATTAACACTGTGATTAAGTTTAGAATATTTTATTCATTTTCATATATTTCCAGCAGTTATTTAGAACGCTTGTAAAAATTCAGAACACTTGAATGAATGAGAATATTTTTCTATTGACTTCACATGTAATAACAGACAGGTAGAGAATCTGCAGTCTGTTTCTCTACTTAATTGTTTGTAGGGGGTCTTACAATACTATTATTTTTTCAATGCTTTGTTAAATTTCATAGTATAAGTGTATCCTCTATTTTTATTTGTCTAGTATCAGATGAACTCTTTCTATTTGTAAGGTTTTCCTCCAGTTAAAAAAATGAAAATTTTATTTTTCTTATATGTTTTTAAACAATTTTCTTTTTATATTTATCCCTGGCCTCTTTTCAAGGATCACTAATTATCCATAAATAAAACTTAGTTTTCTCTCCTTCATTAATCCACCTCATTTTCAGCTAATACATAACTTCTCTAGTGTTTCTTCACCTGGTGGTTTTGTTGATGCACTGGTAATGCTACATTTTACTGTTCCTATTACCATTGAGTATTCACTAAGGGCATTACATTTTTATCATTTTTTTTTGTTTTTATCTTCAAGCTATTTGTATTTGTCTATTTTACTATCTTATTTTTATCTTCTGCCTGAAAAAGTCCAGATTTTCTTCTATTATGAATACAAAATGGATAATTTCTTTTGTTCCTACCCTCATGAACATTAAAATACTTCTTTCTATATATTACAAAATATTTTTATGCAGTCCATATTGCAGGTAAATGCCTTGTGTATTTGTCTTTAAAAAAATACAGCAAGAGCTCCCTACCAGCCTGTGTGCCCAACTCAGGTGGTTGTGTTCTTGTATTACCTTAAATTCAACTGATTTATTTTTATAATCCTTACCTCTGACATATAGATGATGACAAAGTGATGTGATTTTATGTTCTGGGCATTTGTAGAGCAAAGAAGGAGAGCCTGAGCTGTGGGTATTCCTACATGGGTGACTCATTCACAAACCATTTTTGCTAAGCAACTTTATTGAGATGTAAGGCAGAAAACCTAGAATTCATCTGTTTCATGTGTACAATTCAGTGTTTCAGAATATTCAAAGGTTACAAATATTCTATGATCGCCATACTGTCTTTCTGTTTTTGTTCATCCTGGACTCCAAAGTATTTATTCATTCAGAACAACAAATAAGAAGATGTTGGTGGGTTCCTGCCAGGACATGGTCAGAATGAAAGCTGTAAATTAGTTCTCTGTAGCTCCCATCAATATGATCACTTTACAAGGAGTTCCAACCTCCCTGCACTTTGCAGCACATGAATTGTATCCTATCCAAGCACTTACAGCAAAGAGGAATTTATCTAATTTAATTTTGTTAATTCAACTGGTATCTTGATACAATAAAGAAAAGGAGGCATACTAGACATCTGTCTAGACTACTCCTCTCAGAAGTCTAAGGATAATTTTATAAGTGCACATTTAATATGTAAAAATAAGTAATTAAAACAAAATAAAGCTGATTAATTTATATTTTGTTATCCTAAGTATTGATTCTATATCACATAAATAACAGTCAAATGTATTTTTTTCCTTGCCTTTCCTGGAGTGACAAATAAATTAAAAGATAGATGAATCACTGGTTTCTAAGTGGAACATGACTCAATTTAACATTTTCTCTGAGCAGCAGTTAGAAAATTCAAACAAACACATGGACGTGTATAAAATACAATGAGTAAGAACAACCTAATTCCACTTCTTACCTTGGTTTAAAGGAATAATTTTCAAAATTCTCAAAGTTCTTACAGTTTTAAGATTTAGAACGAAGTTTAGAGGTGAATATCTTGTTATAATCCTGTGGAAGTAAACTAGAGTTATTTAGGAGTCATATTGAATCTATAGGACTTATCATTGGCTTTTTGTGCTCTTTGAAAACTACTTAAAAATTATACATCCAAGCACTACCCCTCACTTAGATTATTCCATTTTGCAAACTGTTCTATTATTACTTGGAAGACAAAAATTACTATAAAGAAATGTAGCCAGGTAATATTAATTTACAAACTTAAATTACTGGAGTTCAGTCCCCAAAAGTCAGAGGTTACATATTTTCTTGGATCTGTGGAAGCTAATCCAAAATAAGCAGGTGGGGTGGGAGTTAAAAAAAAAATAGAAGACCAATGGAGTAGACAAAGGATTAGATTAAGGAGGAGAGAAGAGGAACAGATTAAAAAAAATAAATAAATAGAAAGATCAGCAGAAGGAAAGGAATAGTAAGAGAAAGGAAGGGAGAGAATGGGAAGTCCAGGGACTGAATTAGAGTAAATTATATTCCATTGTTTTATAATTATGCCAAGATGAATCCTAATGTTGTATATAACTAAAAAGAACCAATAAAAATAGCATAATAAAAAATTACTGGAATTTATAACAGTTTCACACTGAATAATTTAATGTCGAATATTCTCTTATGTTCATAAAATTTTGTTATCTATTACTGAAAAGAGTTAAAATAAAAACAACAGCTGTTTTTTGGACAAATAAGGTCCATCTTCAATATTTAAACTTCTGACAAGTGAGGTGACGGCAGGAATGAGGATGAGGATACTGGGGACAGAGGAAGGCTGATGGTTGTGAAGGTAGTGAATGATGGTGACTGGAGAAGGCAGAATATATGTTGGTTAAGAGCCACAGCTTCTGGAGCCAGACTGTGTGTGGCAATGTAGGATCTTCCATTTATTAGCTATGTGGCAGGCTAATACTTAATACTGCTGCAGTTTCCTTAATGGTAAAGTAGGGATATGATTTCTTGATGCAGAGTCTTTTTGTGGGGAAAAAGATGGGATAATATATGAAAAGTACACAGATCAGCACTTTGCACATGTAAGAGCTCTCTTGTTGTTAGCTAAGTTAGCTTAGTATTAGCTGACAGCAGCAGGAACAACAAAAATAATGGTAGTGGAAATAGAAGTAGTAAAGATGATAATTACAAATGATATTAACTATTTTTTAATTGCTTACAATATGGCAAGAACTGCTTATACTTTTTTTTGGGGGGGAGGGTGTACTGGGAATTAAACCTAGAGCTTAATCACTAAGCCACATACCCAGCACTTTTTATGTTTTCTGTTGAGATAGTTTCTCACTAAGTTGCAGAGGCTGGCCTTGAACCTACAATCCCACTGCCTCAGTCTCTGAGTTGCTAGGATTACAGGCATGCATCACCACACCTGGTCTTTGGTTTATACTCTTTATAAAAGTTCTTTTTTTAATCTATTATTTTTGCTTGCTTACAATATGGCAGAAACTGCTTAAACTCTTTATAAAGGTAATTTTTTAATTGACCAAAAACTAAAATTAGAATATCATTTTAAATTATTTTAAAAGAAACTTGAAGGCAATAATATCATTTCTATATCTACTGAAAAAATACTAAATAGAAGCATTGACAAAAATAACAAGAAACGATTAGAATTATATATAACACTACAGAAAAATGTGTGTGTGTGTGTTTAAAATATCTTATTCTGATATTTAGGATATTTACTGGTCCAAGCAATGTAGCGGAATGAAATGTTGACTAAGGACTGAGAATCAATTATGCTAGGATGGCCTAAGTCTTCAGGGAATTCTCTACTCAGTGAAAAAAAAAAATCAGTTAAAATGTACAAATTCAATCTTTATCATTTTTGCTCAAGATAGAAAACATCTCATTTCTTTCATTCTCTTTGCATGTTCTGAGGACTCACTCAGAAATAGTGCCCAAGAGACTCACTACAACTATGACTCATGAAATATTCTTTATTTGCTGAAGTTTTGGAAGCAGAAGTTTTTGTAGAACTCAATTTTTAAGTGAAAAGCACTTGTTTAGCAAAAGACTCAGGTATTTGCAACTTGAAGAAATACTCACTCAAATAAGGTTACACCGAAATCAAGCCAGTTCCATGGATCCCCAAGGAAAGAAAAAGATCCTGCCCAGAAGCCTCTTGCAATGATTTTGACAAGTATTTCAAATGTGTAAATTCCAAGTAAAGTATTCCTGTAGAGAATTTTTCACATAAATTTTAAAAGTGAGAATAACATACTGTCAGTTCTGAAATACTGTATCTGTAAGTGACTATCTGGTATTTGAAAATAAGTCATCAGAAAGGTAAAAACATGTCTGGTAGGCAGGCCAAAACAACCAATAAGACAACAAACAAAACAGCAAGTGCCCTTGAACTTGAGTATCATTTTAGATAGGTCTCCTAGGATGGTTACCTCTTGTGGCATTAGCCATGAGTTTGGCTACCAACTTCTTTTAGCTATTTCTGTCTCAGAGATGATAGGCTTTTAATCTATGTAAATAATAAAAATATCAAATTTACTCAACATTAGGATTGCACAATAGTTAACAATAATTAAGGAAATATGTAAGATTTACCTTTATTTTATACATATATAAACACAAAGATATCTTTGGTGAACCAGTATTAGAGTTACCTTCCAAAGTCAACCAGCTCTAGGAATTTATAAAGCTCAGGGGCATAACTTCAAGAAAGTCTCTACCTAGAAATTTCAAAGGGTCTTTCTATAATTGTGGTCTAATTCAAGTCATGTGGCAGAGGAAAGAAAAACAGAACAATAACAATTGCTTTCTTTTTCTTATTTTTTAATGCTGGATATTGAACCCTGATATACTAGGAAAGTGCTCTACCACTGAGCTACATCCCCAGCCCTAACAATTTCTTAATAAATGAAAAGGAGAAAAAAAAAGTTATTTGAGTTAGAAACAAATCAGGTGTTGGGTTACAAGAGTTAAGACCCAAGGCACTAAAATATATTAATCATTAATATTAAGTTTGAAATTATATCCTCCATAAGGATTATAACAAAATCATTAAACTAAAGTCTCAAACATTTATATTATGTTAATCTATTGAGAAATAGAGGTATTTAAAATCTAACTAAGAATAATGAAAGGGTACAAAAATACTAAAATTAATGAGTTGATAAATATGATAATTTTTATTTGGAGAATTGACTCATTCTGTTGCAGGTATAAATACATTATATACCTTAAATATTTTATTATATATAAAGTATAAGTACTATATCATGTAATGTTATAGTATATAATATATTGTGTAACTTAATGTTATGACATCAAAATTACAAAATGTTAAAAATGAAAATATAGTAATATGTGACATTATGTGTAATAAAATTTATAAACTTACTCAATTGCTGTTATCCATATTGACCAATTAGTCATAGTCATAAATATGCAATCAATGAGGACGCTAATTAAAATTAACAGTCGGAAAAAGGTGAGCTACAGTCAAGGAATAGTGGATAATAAATGATATTAGAAAAAATATTTCTATAATCAAACTTTATAAAAACACATAATAAAATATTTTTAAATGTTGAAAACATTATTGAAAATTAATGGACATTAATATTTGTTAATTTCTACTATTATGGGTATTTAGAAAATATATTTCATATGTATTTTCAAACATGGAATAACTAGTGGAGCATTATTCACATTTCATTATCACCTAATGTGAGATATCAATTTGAAAGAGAAAAGTTTGGCAGCAACAGTTAAGTACAGAATAGTTGAATTTAGTATTAGCACAGTTTAAAACACAGTCCACAAGCCAGTAGCAAAGGATATGGATGCACCAAAACCTTGATAGTTGTTCCTCTGATGGGACTGAAAGGAGACAATGTGCACAAGATGGAAGCAGCATTGAACCTAAAGATTGTTCTCTTTTTATTTAACACCATGAAAGTCTATAAGAAGAAAAAACAAATGAAGTGAAATAAGAATGTAGAACTGGAATTTCATTAATTATGTAACATTGCCAACTATCATTACCATCTAGGATTTTAACAGCTATATATCTTTTTGATATCCTTCTACAGACTAAGTCAAATGAAAAGATTTTTACAGTTTTCATTCATATTTACTTTTATGTGCTCATCTACCAGTTTCATTTTGTTTTGTCCTGCCACTGCTATAGTCAAGAAAGTTGCCTTAGACCACACCACCAGGTCTCCACAGCACCAGCATAACAGGAAGACTACTGTATCCTGATGGCACATGAAGACACACTTAAAAGTACCAGAAGTGTCACATCTCAGAATGTAAGGAAAGTATAAAAGTTAATTTTATTAAAGAACAAATTAAATGTTGGTTTCAATAGTAAATATGATTTAGTGTATGAAAATACTATATTAATCATTAACAATTATCTGGGAAATAAAATCTGATTTCTTTGATATCACTACATAAACATATCTAATCCAAAATTTTATATTATGGAAACTTAAGATGTTGGGATATTAAAGCATTAAAATTCTAACAAATGTGATGAATGATCAGAAGTGTCCTAAAATTGAAACTGAATTTCATATCTCTATGAGTGTGTGTTCTTGTATGTATTTATATATGTGTATATATACATGTATATGTATGTATGGGAGCATATGTATGTGTTTTTTTGTATATATTCATTGAAATTATGAAGAATGTTTGTCTGTTATTGAATTTTCCCCTTTTGATTTTTCGATGTAAAGAGAAAAAAATCTAAAAAGAAATAAAGAAAATAAATCTGATTACTTAAAGTGTTCTTTCTATGCTGTTTTCCAGAACAATTTCAAACTTCACACAAGATGTAATATATATGTAACCAGTTAATTTGTGTCATTGCAAAGGGATGAATACTTACAGATAAAATGGTTTCTCAATTTTTAAGGGCTCAAATTTGTATTAATTTTATAATCATTTGTTTCTATGTTTTATCTTTAACAGAATAAACAGAATACAACTCAAGTGTTTAAATAACACAGTGTCACTGATAAATCACAGCACTTTTTACATGAAACTATTCTTGTGATTTTGCCCCACGTTTTTCATGGCAACTAGACCATGAGTAATTCTGGGCTTTGCACTAATTTTCAATAGCCTTGTCTTTGTCTTCAATATCAAGTCTGCCTTTGCCTACCATATCATATACAGGACAAAATACTCTTTTCTCTGCTACATCACAGCTACTAATACTGTGCCATAGAAATCTTATCGCTTAGGCATACCAACAACTAAATGCTGAAATAATGGAGATGAAGACTTGCACTGTAAAGAACACTCAAGATTATGCAGCTGACACATTTTTATTTTCTAATCATGAAAGGTATTCCAGAGTTATATTAATATAAAACAAACAAACAAACAAAAACGCACTTTGTCTCCAGAGACTTCAATTCAAATTTATTTCACTAATTTTATAACATCTTTGAAAATACTACAAGAATATCAAATCACATTTGTCTACCATGAAGCTCCTCTTCATCCCCGGAAACTTAATCTACTTTATATTTACTTCATTTTTGTCAATGGCTCCAACCATTCTTCCAAGCTGAAAATCCTGGCATTCTTTGTCAGTCAGATTCTATTTCTTGTCAGGTTTGTTCTCTCCCTCTTCTCTAAGCCCCTACTATACTCTGGACCTCAAATCCAGCAGTTTGGATTATTCTCCCTCATATTTCAATTTTTTGACTTTATGTAATAGTGATTTAGAAATCTACCAGACTGACTTTACTTAATCACTTTATTCATATCTGTCCTTTGATTACCACATTAAATCCCTGTTGACATCTTCATGATCTCATCTTATTTCCCACAACTTGCAACATAACCATGTTCCCAGTCACATGATCAGCCTTTCTTTTCCACATTCCAGAACAATCTCTGCTCTTGCCTGTTTCTAAAAGGCTCTCCCTTTGTGTTATTAAAATCAGAAGTGTTCTGCAAGCTTTAATTCAAATTTTACTTCCTCAGTGAGGACTTTCAGGTTCATCATTCCACACAGATCTATCTTTTCTAAGCAAAATTATTTTCATGTTCAGCATTTTGTGCTTGTTCTAGGATATATTAATAGGTGCCACAAGTCTTTCTGGAGATCAGGTATGAAAATATGAAGGAATAAATGAGAAAAAGTGATTAAAAAACTCATACAGATTCGATTCACTTTCCTGTCTCCTGAGGAAGCTCACCAAGTTGGCCATTTTAAATAGTTGTGTTTATTCTGAATATCTCAAAATTATTTTAAAATTGATAACCATAAATAGCTAATCAACTTTGCTGTCATAAAACAAATTGCTTCCATGAAGGCACATAGTATATACATTAAGAAGTTAACAATACAAACTACCCAACCAATATATAGCAGTTCTGATAAAATCTCAAATGTCTGCATTCCCCAAATAATATATCTTAGGTAGTTCTGTATAATATAAAATTATCTTTATCAGTTCTTCATTCACTCACTCTTTTTTTGTCCTATGTCAATTATATCTTTTGCATTGTCTTCAAATAAAATAATGAAAATGTAATCACAATAATTTCAATTAATACTCACATTTTTTTTCACATAGTAATATGAATCCACATCTTCCAAGGGCTCTGACACCATTCCTCGAGAAAGGTCTCCATAAATGAATGGAAGCTTTTTGCCAACTTCCAAAGTAGGGTCCGGCTTTAAATCATCTTCTTCATGTTTCTCGTTTTGTTTTTTAGCAATATGCTGTTTTATAAGTTTAAGAGATTCTTCCGTGAAAGGGACAAGGCCCTTTGATTCCGGAGAATCCAACATTTCCAATTTTGTACCTGTAAGAAATTACTTTTCTTCAGTTCCATATAAAAATTGGGTTTATTAAGAAAATCTAATTTACAAAACCTAGAATATTGTTAGAATGGAGAAGAGCAAAAGAAATACATATATTTATGGAGTACATTGCTGAATTCTATAGAAATGTAAATTGTTAGACTTAATATTGGACTTAATTTATAATTTCACAAGTGACTCAGTTGGCTTTATTTACTCATTACTTGAACATTCTTTTTTTTTTTTTTTTTTTTTTTGTATGTGATAAGTGCATTTGTGTTGAGATTCTGATAATCCCATGATGCAAAGGCAGAGTAATGCTGTAATGGAGTTTGTTATACAGGAATATGTGTCTCCCTCTCTCTCTATCCATCTATCATGAATCTTTCACGTTGGCCAATCGACAGTATTAATTATTACAATCTTCCCACTATGTCTTTGGTATCCAGTGGAGGACTATTGGCTCCTATCTGTAGCATTATCAGGAGGTTGTCAACTGCTCCTGCTTGATTTATATGGTGAGTTCCAAATTAACATTGGCCCTAGGAGTGGGTGGTACATAATATGGACCTGGCTAATAATTGATTGAAATCTCTTTGAATCATTGGTCAAAACCAACTGTTTTGCTGACTCGTTCTATTCCAATTCTTGTCAAAATTTTCTCTTCAATTGATCTTACTTAATGCCAACTGACAGGTTTCCTTTATTTATTTGCCTATTTTTTTCCTGTAATTTTATTATTGCAATAAAGAATAAGGAATTTTGTACTAGATGTTGTGTCATTTTATATCATATGCCATGTATTTCACAGTGCTGGCACTAGCTGAATTTCTTTTATGAGATTTTCTACAACTGAAATTACATTCAGGCTGGGGCCGTAGCTCACTGTCAGAGTGCTTGTCTAGCTAGCATGCATGAGGCACTGGGTTCCATCCTCAGCAGCATATAAAAATAAAACAAATAAAATAAAGGAATTCTATCCATCTACAAATACAAAAAAAACTTTTAAGAAAGAAATTACATTCACAAGAACATGTGTCTACTTCAGAATTTTTCACTGTTGTGAAAAATTGAATTAATACTTTAATATTTTGTTTGTCTATTAATCAGAAGAAAAAGGTGAGTTAATATTAATGGAATAACATTTATTATAAAAATTATACATCCACTACCAACATAGGTAAATGATGGATATAAACAATTATAGATAAAAAAGGCAATCTCATAAATACCCAAGGGGAGAACACATAGTATATTTCTGTGGCATAAATGTACGATGGAAAATCTATTGGATTGACCACCTGTGTCTTTCATGGGATCATAAATTTTTTGGGTTTTGCATTGCTTTTCATGTTGCTTCATTCTACTGGAACAAGCCTTCCTTCATGTACTTCTAAGAATATACCCACCAAAAACATATCACAGTCATAACTTTGATTGTTCAGTTTAAGTTCCCATGTGTACTAATAACCTATGTGTCAAAAATAAATAAGTAAAAGGTTATTCTAATGAACCTACCACAGCCTATGGATCCATTTCCTCTTAAAATAGTCACCTGTGACCAGAAAGAGGGACAACTTCACATCGGAAATGGTTGCTTTATTCAAAAGTCCTCAAGATATGTTCCAGGTATTGGATGTGGAACAAGTTTAAATAGGGGATTATGGACTAGAAAGATCAGCATATGTCTACTTGCAGCTCCCTTTCCCAGACTAATGATATAAAAATTCACTCTTGCTCACCTCAAAATTTGCTTATTTTCCAAATGTCTTTGTTCAATATCATGCGCAAAACTGAAACTTATTGAAAGTTTGCTAAGAATTATTATCATACATAACATGAAGATACATTTGAATATGCTCAATATAACACTGTTGAGACTTCTTACTACTGCTTCAACCTCTTTGTTCATTGCTCATCTATTTAGGTCTTTTATATCCTCTCGGTTCACTTTTAGTAGTTCACTTTTAGTCCAGAAATTTGTTCATTTCTTCTAGATTTTCCACTTTATTGTTATATAATTTTTAAAAATAATCCCTAATGATTTTATGAATGTCAATGGTATATGTTGTAATGTTCCTTTTTTCATATCCTTTTATATATAGGTTTTTTTCTCTTCTTTGCTAAATTTAGCTAAGGGCTTATTAATTTTACTTTTCTTTTCAAAAATCAACTCTGTTTCATTTATTATTTGTATTATGATATTTTATTTTTTTAGTTGTACATCTATAAATAAACTAAAAGTATTGTGTTATTTACTTATGTGGTGCTGAGGATCAAACCCAGTGCCTCACACATGCAAGGCAAGCACTCTACTGCTGAGCCACAACCCAGCTCCTATTTGCATTACATTAAAAATATTCTATTTCATTTATTTCTGCCCTGATCTTTAGTATTTCTTTCCTTCTGCTGATTTTGAGTTTAGTTTGTTCTTGTAGTTTTAAGACCTTAAAATACATCATTAGGTTATTTATTTGAGATTTCTCTATTTTATTAATGTAGGCACTCATAACTATAAACTTCCTTTAAGTACTGCTTTTAATATTCTATGGATTCTGGTATATCATGTTTCCATTTTGATTAATTCCATGAATTTAAAAGATTTCCCCTGAATTCTCCAATAACTCCCTCCTTGATCATTGAGAAGTGTGTTATTCAGTATCCAATTATTTGCATTATTTCTGTAGTTTCTCTTGCAATAACATTTTTAGTTTCATTCCATAATGATCTGACAAGATGTAGGAAATTTAAAAAAAATTTGAATTTGTTAATACTTGCTTTATATCCTAAAATGTGACCTATTTTGGAAAAGAAGTTCTGTATGATTAGGAAAATAATGTATATTCTGTAGCTGAGTGGAATATTCTGTAGATGTACGTTAGATACATTTGATATGTAGTGTAATTTAAAAGTGCAATCTCTTTGTTTATTTTTTGTCTAGATGATCAATCTATTGGTCAGAGTTGGGTATTGGAGTCAACTACTATGATTATATGGAGTCTTGCCTCTCACTCTTTGTCCAGTAGTGTTTGTTTTATAAAATTGGGTTCTCCAAAATTTAGTGGTATAATTGTCACATTTCCTTGATGAATTCCTTTCTTTATCCACATGGCTGTGATGCTTGTTTCTTCTGATTTTGGCTTAAAGCCTGTTGTGTCAGGTATGATTATAGTAGTCCTTTTGCTTTTAGTCAGGGTCTTCCTTAAATTGCTCAGGCTGGCCTTGAACTTCTAATCATCCTGCTCATTCCTCACATAGTTGGGATTACAGGTGTGTGCCACTATGGACAGAGATTTTGCCTTTCAGTGTGACTCAGCACTTCACATTTATAGATTTTTTTATTTTTCTGTTTTGAACCCTGGACCTCACACATGTTAAGAAAGTGCTCTATCACTGAGCTATACACCCCCAGCCCACTTATCTCTTGCATTTTTCAATATTCTTTCTTTGTTCTGTACTTCTGGCAATTTAAGTATAATATATTGTTGTAGAGAAGTTCTTTTATGGTCATGTTTATGTGAGGTTCTAAATGCCTCCTGCACCTGCATGTCTGTCTTTCTCAAGATTTGGGAAATTTTCTAATATGGTTTCATCAATGAGTTTTCTGTGTCTTCAACCTGTGTTCAGCCTGTCTTCAACTCTTCTCTCTTGTCTATTCTTATCATTTGCATGTCTGGTATTTTAATGGTGTCCCAGAAATCTTACATATTCTTTTTATTCTTTCTTATTTTTACTTATTAATGTATGTGAAAATTCCCAACCTTGTCTTCAAGGTCTGATATTTTTTCTTCCACTGATCCATTCTATTGGTGAGGCTTTCAATGAAGTTTTTAATTTGACTTATTGAGCTTTTCATTTCTAAGATTGATGCTTCATTTTTTTAAAATCTCTCTCTCTCTATTGAATTCCTCTTTGCATCCCAAATTGTCATCCTTAATTCATTTAGCTATAATGTATTCTCTTGGAAGTTGTTGAACTTTAAAAAAATTGTTCATTTGAAATTTTTGCCATTTCATTAACTTTGGTGTCTTTAGAATCACTAACTAGAGAACCTTGAACTTTATAGGTGCCATGTTGCCTTGTGTTTTCATATTTCTTGTGTTTCTGTGTTGAGATTTGCTGATTTATTGAGATGGATGTCTCTTCCATTTTTATATGAGAGCTTTCTTTGCAAGCAGCCTTCTTTCAATGATTTGCTCTGGAATATCAATTTGCTGTGTAGTGCTGACTTTAATTCCAATTGGACTTCATAGCATAGTTGCCCTGTTGCTTCTTTGGCTTTTATTAGTGAATTTTGATGCAGTGCATAACTGCATTGGAGCCTGAGGGACTCACTTTCTCTATAGGTCTTGCATAAGTGGAGTCCTTCTGGTATTTCAGGCAGATGTGGTATGCTCAGAAAAATATGTGAGCACACCTGTGTGGTTACTCCTTCAGTCTTGTCAGCAATGTGGGCAGTCTGACCGGTTGTGAGGGCAACCTATGTTGAGGTCCCTCTTGATGTGGTATCCACAACCATTGTTTTTTTTTTTTTTTTTCCTCTGCTGCTACTGAAGTCAGTGAATGTCTAGGAGTAGGATTTCATGACCCAGCCATGCCTCAGGGACAGACTATTGCTTGCTAGTGTATGGAATAATTTCTCTAAGCTGGGCCGGGCATGTAGCTCAGCAGTAGAGCACCCACTTAATGTGCTCAAGGTGCTGGGTTGGATACACAAGACTGCATAGAAGAAGAAAACAAACAATAATAAAAACAACAAAAACCAGAGAAAGGAATAAAGTAAAATCCCAATAAAAACAACCACAACACAACAACAACAACAAAAAAGAGAAGGGAAAATAATATAGAATAAACTAAAAAGTTAAAAAATAATGAAAAGTAAAATTAATTCAAAAAGAGAGAAACCAAGGAAAAAAGAAAAAGTTAAGAGACTAAGGAGTAGAAAAACTACATATCTATGTAAGTATGTGTAAATATCTAATTCATATACATATGT